TTGAGGGACAACGCAGGAGGGGAAGACCCTCTATGAGATGGATTGATTCGGTGACTGGGGTAATCGGGATGGGTGTGTCAGAGGCGGTGCGGTTGGCGAAGGATAGAGCAGGGTTTAGGGCTGTTGTGCATAGGGTCGCTATAAGTCGCAAAGGACTCGATGGCACATAACAACAACAACAACAACTTCCGGATCTCAAGTTCTCAGTATGTGCAATAGTACCTAAGCCTGTACACACTGCATTTTGGAATGGCTCATCTGCCTCTCTCACCATACTGAAGTGCAGATCAGATGTTTCAAAATAAAAGACAAATCTGGTGTATATTCTGGTGAGTGCAGCCTGCCTCCATGCCCCAGTTCTCCTAATTAGAGGCCAAAGGACTGAGGGACTCCTGCTTTATTTTCTTTGATGTTTTTGTCCAAAGAGAGTCCCATGAACTTCCTTGAGACTTCCATTTTCTCATCAGAGATAATGATACCTCATCTGCAGACAGCTGCTATGATGATGGCATGAAAAGCAAAAGCACTTTGTAAGGTATAATTTACTAGATGAAATTAAGGGCTGCTACTATTATTCTTTTGTATGTGTCAACTACCATGGAAACTGAACTCCCTAAATGGCAAGGACCATACCTTGTTCATATTATTATTCTGGGCATCTAGTACAATACCAAGCATATTATTCAATTAGTGTATGTTAGAAAGGAGAATGAAATGAAGACATTAACAGGGACTGCCAGCAAGTAGGATGGCGATGATAGCCCAATCATTAAGCACTCTAAGCACAGGCTGTGTCAGATCAGACAGAGGGAGAAAGACTTGGCCTCTCCCTCTAGACAGTAGGCGGAGCGGTCAAGTCAAAAACTATCAACTGCTCACATTTCTCTTTGCTTTCACACAGCTTTAGTATTTATTATAATCTCAACAACTGACAAGTCAGCATTTTATCTAAAAATTCTGATTGAAAAGTACAGAATATATTCAACAGCTAAAAGTGGGATTGCTCAATATACTTCCTATTCATGCTTCTGCCCATGAATGAGATCTGGAAACAGTGTCAATACTGGTGTGACAAAGAGGTGGGGGGAACTAAACTGGAAGAATTCTGTGTGTCTAGTGGTGGCTAGGTGGTTTCTTTTCTTTATCAGAAAAGGGAGTCTACCTTCTTTTTATCAATCAGATTGGGGACAGAAGAGACATTCCTGAATTTATTCTTTACACCAACCCCAGAACCTCTACCAACCACGCTCTGCTTGACCTGGTTCTTGGCAAACAGGATCCAGCCCTGGTCCTCATAAACTCAGGATCTGGCAGGAATAAAGAATATTCTGAATATAAAAAGTTCTGGAGGGTACTGGTTTATGTTTCAACATGAATATTTTTACAATAAAAAGAAAAAGCAGTTGTGAGGGAGTGAAAAATATACTTTAGAAATATTAACATCATCACTTTTTCATCTGTCCATGAAAACGAAAAATGACTATCACTCCTACACATAGTTCCTCCTAGTGTGCAGTCAGCAAACCTACAGCTGTCCATTTGGACAGCTCCTGTTTGAACACAAAGTTACTTTAGACAGATCTGGGAGTGGAAGGTGGCCACTGCAGTATATCCTGGCACTCCTTGGATAACTGTTCTCAAAGCTCTCATTTTTGGCTTTTGCTCTGATCCGGTTACATCTTAGTATCTCTCACAAAGAAAATGGGAGGGAGAACCAAGAACTTGAGGGTCCCTGTTATAGATTTCTAAGCTTACTTAAGAAATGTTTTGATTTTTTTTAAAAAAAGAAGTATGTTTTGAGTAGTTAATACAAGTCTTTTGCCAAGGAGACACAAGAGAAAAACAGTCATCAAGACATTAGCTATCCAATTCCTAATTGGTCTCAGACACAAACATCAAATTTCCTTTTTATCTCCTCTACAATTTAAAACCAGTTCTCAGGCAGCTCTGTGGCCCTACGAGGTAGGGTGTTTCGCAACTAACGCAAAATGCTGGCACCTGAAATTCACCAACAGCTCTGAGAGGAAAGATGGGCAATCTCTGCCTGTGTGAATTATATAGCTTCTGAAAACCTGCTAAAGAGGTCTTCTAGGAGTTGGTTCCGACTCGGTGGCAATAAGAGATGTTACTGTTTCATTTATGCCTCAAAACAACCATAAACAGGTTAAATAAAACACGTAGACGCAACAGGTTCACAAAGCGCGCAACCTTTTTTTTTTTTTTGCCTTTATCCTCCTCCTCGAGGATCAGTTTCATGCAACTGGAAACTGTGGTTCAAAAAGGTGAAGGGTCGAGCTCTTAACATCTTAGCGAGCGCGGTTTACAGTAACAAACCAGTCAATCCATTGCTTACGAATGATGCTCACAGTAACCTTACAGGAGAGTAAAACGACTTCAGTTTCCAAGGCGTAAAACTTTATGGAAGCGACATTTTTCTTTTACAGAAACGTCTGGCTGGTGAGCTCGCCCATTTTTTTCGACAGCAGCCTGGGCTTTAAGCAGCGAGGCCACCACATCACGCAGTAGCCAACGGCATGGTCAACAGAAGTAGCACCCACCTGCAACCCCGCCCACTCTACCAGCCGCCGGACAGCCTGTCCTACTCACCGCCTCCGCAAGAACTCGGTAGCGCTTGCGCACCAGTCTCTACAGGCACAAACCAGACAGATGGCGGGTCACGTGAGCACCGCTTACTCTCACGTGACCTCGCTCTAGGAGGCGGGGCCCTTCGGCCAAGATGGCTGCCTACCTGCAGTGGCGGCGTTTCGTTTTCTTCGACAAGGAGGTGGTGAAGGAGCCGCTGGGGAATGATGGCGCAGCTCCTGGGGCTGCACCTACCTCTGGACCTGCTGCTTCCAAATTCCTTTGCCTCCCTCCTGGCATCACTGTCTGCGACTCAGGCCGAGGGAGTCTGGTGTTTGGAGATATCCTTCTTGTGGTGTCATCTCGTCCCTTCCCAAATCCTGGAAGATACTCAGCTGGGACGGAATCTGTCCTTCATAGGGGTTTGTGCAATGTGCCAGTTTATTTAATCTTGGCTCCCGGCTCTTATTCTATATTCTGAGCGCAGTTTTAGCCGCTCTAATTTGTAGCCAGCTGAGCAATCCTGTAAGTAATTTACCCTCTGCTTTTTAGTTTCCTTACTTGTAAAGGGAGTATAAAAAGCCAGTTCATTAAGCGTATTTTAAGGACCAATAAAAGAAAGGATGCAGGTTGATTTTAAAAGATAAAAATGAGTTGACATCTCTCTTCTGGACGAGTGGGTGAAACAGTACAGTTTTGCTCTTCAAATTATTACTGTTGAACTCAAGCCTCTTTTTAACTATCTTTAAGATGGAAGGGCCCACAGATGGTATTTGGAAAACTAATAAAAAGTTTAAAGAGCCATTAGTTGTAATCTGAGTTTCTGGTCTAAATGAAAATATCTCTCCTTGGAGAGGAGGCTCCTTCACTGCTCTGTACATATGGAAGGCCAGATCTGGTTTTTGCCACGCTCCCTACAGCTTACAGCCTTCCAAGCCTACAAGCTGCGGGTGACACACCTGTACCAGCTGAAGCAGCATAACATTCTAGCATCCGTTGGTGAAGATGAAGAAGGCATCAACCCACTGGTGAGTCTCAGGAGGTGGGGAATGGCTGGCAGCCTGGAATGACTAACGTTTACACTCCTGAGATTGGTTCCTAGGTAAAGATCTGGAACCTGGAGAAGCGAGATGGTGGCAATCCTCTCTGTACCCGAATCTTTCCTGCCATCCCAGGAGCGGAGCCCACTGTTGTGTCCTGCTTGACTGTTCATGAAAATCTCAACTTCATGGCCATTGGTAAGGAGAAGTCAGTATGAACACTCCTAAATTCTTGATAGGTTTTGTTCAGAGTTGACTTCTGGAGCTCATCTTTATTGTGTTCATAAGATTGTTTAGCCTTTGAGATTTTTAAACTTGAGAATGAGAAGACACTTAATTTTGTCCTTGAAAATGAGTAAATACCAATCATCATGTGTTTTATTCAGTTGACTCTTCATTAGTGAAATGTGTTATGCAAAGAGAACTTGTCACTTCCAATAAATACCCCAACTGGTCTTTTTTTCCCTTTTTCTCCTTCTAATAACCCCTTTGTGCTTCCTGATATTTTCTGCTTCTTGGTTTCCTATTGTCCTGAAGGTTTCACAGATGGCAGTGTTACATTGAATAAAGGAGACATCACCCGAGACCGGCACAGTAAGACCCAGATTTTGCACAAGGGCAACTATCCTGTCACTGGACTGGCCTTTCGCCAAGCAGGAAAGACCACTCACTTGTTTGTTGTGACAACAGAGAATGTTCAGGTATGACCAGGGCCTCCAGTGTTAGAAGTAGCCAGGAAAGGCTTATCCCATTGCTCAGAAATCAAGTGCCGATAGAAGTAGGATTCTTTTATTTTCATCCTTTACTTTTGAATAATTTTCCCTGCTTAGCATCTTTGCTGCTTAAGTTTAGAAAGTGGGAGGAGGTGGTTGTTGTTGTTATGTGCCGTCGAGTCATGCCATCGAGTTGCTTGCGACTCATAGCGACCCTATGTACAACAGCCCTAAACTCCGCTCTGTCCTGTTCCAATCGCACTGTCTCTGACACTCCCATCCCAATTATCCCAGTCACTGAATCAATCCACCTCATAGAGGGCCTTCCTCTCCTGCGTTGTCCCTCCACACTCCCAAGCATGATGTCCCTCTCCAAGGTCCGGTCTCTCCTCACAACATGTCCAAAGTATGTTAGACAGAGCCTCAGAATCCTTGCCTCCAAGGAGCCACCTGGTTTAACCCTTTCCAGGAGAAATCTGTTTTCCCAGCAGTCCATGGTATTCTCAGTACTCTTCTCCAGCACCACAGCTCAAAGGCATCAGTTCTCCTTCTATCCTCCGTGGTCATTGTCCAACTCTCTGATGCATAACAAGTGTTTGCGAAGACCATAGCCTGTATCAGACGCACCTTAGTCTCCAGAGAGACACCAATGCTCTTCAGTACTTTGGAGAGGTCCCTAACAGCAGACTTTCCCATGGCAATGCGCCTTTTAATTTCCTGGCTGCTGGTGCCAAGACTTGACTACCGAGCAAACTAAAGCTGTGTACAATTTCAATCTCTTCACCATCCATCCTGATGCTGCCAATTGGTCCAGTGGTGAGAATCTTTGTCTTCTTGACATTGAGCCTCAATCCATATTGTAGGCTTCAGTCCTTGACACTCTGCAGCAGGTGCTTTCAGATCCTCTTCAGTTTCAGCAAGCAGGGTTGTGTCATCCGCATAATGCAGGTTGTTGATAAATCGTCCACCAATCTTGACCCCACATTTCTCCTTATAGAGCCTAGCCTCCTGGATAATCTGCATATAGGTTGAAAAGGTATGGATGGAGATAGGATGCATCCCTGGCGTACGCCCTTCCCAATTTTGAACCATGCAGTGTTCCCTTGCTCTGTTCTGACGACTGCCTCCTGGTCCAAGTATAAGTTTCACATTAGAACGATCAAATGTTCTGGGATTCCCATTCTTCTCAGAGTCAGCCATAGTTTGTTATGATCTACACAGTCAAATGCCTTTGCATAGTCAATGAAACACAGATAGACATTCCTCTGGTATTCCCTGCTTTCAGCCAAGATCCTTCTAACATCAGCTACAATATCTCTAGTACCACGACCCCTTCTAAACCCAGCCTGGACTTCTGGTAGTTCTCTGTTGATGTGCTGTTCCAGTCGTTTTTGGATAATCTTCAGTAAAATCTTGCTTGCATGTGAAATCAGTGAGATTGTTCTGTAGTTTCCACATTCTGTTGGGTCACCTTTCTTTGGGATAGAAACAAATATCGAATCGAATTTTTGGGAGGAGGTATAGTTTGGAATTATTTAAAAAAATTTATGTGAATTTTTATTATTCATTTGAATGTATATAACTTATTACGTGATGTTGAACAAGACACTACACCTCTGATTCTTGGTGTTCCTAATTTACAATAGCCTCTGGCATATTTCATTGGGCAAATCTATTGCAAAAGAACTCTAATACGCTAAAAAAGCAAAGGTGTTCTTTGAAGATTTAAGGTGTGCCTAACCTAAGCCGTGCTGTTTTTAGTTGCCTTTCATGCATGCTGGACAGAAAAAAAACAAAAAAACCAACCCTCAATTTTAAGACTACAATTTTAAGACTACTATTACAAAAAAAACAAAAAAAAAACAAAAAAAAAACAACAAAAACCCCAAAAACCACTGAAGAATTAACATCTACTTGAAAGGTTGCCAGTCTTTATCCCTTGGGGCCATTGGTAGATTTGAACCACCAGAGAGGCACCACCTTTGGGTTTGTCAGCTCAATTCTTTACCCACTCAGTCATGAGAGCCCCCTTAGTAAAGCAAAGAGTGAAAAAAGGTAGGCCTTCAGTGAGGTAAATTGACACAGTGACTGCAGTGGGTCACGCATAGCAAAGATTGTGAGGATGGCAGTGGGAACTGGCAGAGTCTCACTCTGTAGTACTCAGGGTCACTGTTTAAACAAGAAGCTTGATGCTTAACGCACAGAGCACTCTAGGAATATTCTTTGGATAAAACAGTAAACTATTATTAATTTCTCTTATGTGCAGAATTTCTGTACTAGGTAGTAATTATATGTACAGAGGACAAAAACGTGGCCCCTGTTCATGGTTAATCCAAACTCAGTTGCTGACATGCCAGTTCTGACACTTGGTGATTTTAATTGTGTCGGTAAAACTCTGAGCCATAGGACTATATGGAAGTAGATGAAAAGACTTTTCTTTTGAGGCACCTCAGGTGAACAAGCCTCCAATCTTTCAGTTAGCAGCCAAATGAGTTAACTATGTACTACCCTTGGACTCCCATGTTTATTGAGTAGGAAAGGGTAAAGGAGCAAGCAAGCAATCAGGGAAAGTCTTAGAGTGCTAAGAGGGAAGGAGGGCCAGTGTGGAGATGGGAGGCCCTTTGTGAAGGCTTCCTTCTGTAACCCTTTTGTCATTTCTTGCAGTCCTATATAGTTTCTGGAAAGGACTACCCTCGCATGGAGTTGGACACTCATGGTTGTGGCCTGCGCTGCTCAGCCTTAAGTGACCCCTCTCAGGACCTGCAGTTCATCGTAGCCGGAGATGAGTGTGTCTACTTGTACCAGCCTGATGAACGTGGGCCCTGCTTTGCTTTTGAGGGCCATAAGCTCATTGCTCACTGGTTTCGAGGCTACCTTGTTATTGTCTCACGTGACCGGAAGGTTTCTCCCAAGTAAGGATGTCAGTGAGAAGGGAAGGGGTGGGGCCTGGATTTATTTCATATAATTCACTGGATGTTTTTCTTGCTTCGTTTTTAATTTATTTTTATTTGAATGAAGGTTTAAACATCATTCTGGTTTTTTATACAGCCATTCATGGATGTTGTGTTTTATAGCATTACTTGACATTGATTAACTTAATGATTACTTGTTAAATCAGTGTCTTCCATTTCCTTTTACCCAGCTTATCTATTTTTACTCCATCTCATCCCTGTTGTCCTTAAGATTGATTCTATTTGTTCATAAACCTCTCCTTGTTGTTGTTATGTACTATCAAGCCAGAGCAGACTCATAGCTGATCTACAGTGGGTTTTTTTTCCTAATTACTTTATGCGTTTTGATCATTTTTTACAGTGGGTTTTCAAAGGCTATAAATTGCTCAGGAGATTACTATCTTTCACAGAGCAGCTGGTGGATTTGAACCACCGGCAATTTGGCAACACAAACGCTTATCCATTAGGCTGCCAGAGCTCCCTAGGTTTTCTTAATAGTAGTCTTAAAATTGAGGGTTGGTTTTTTGTTGATGTTTTGTTGTTTTTTTTTAATCAGCTTATATTATTCAGCATAATGTATTGTAGATTGATCCATGTTGTACAGTATTTCACAAATCTTGATAGTTGTTAGGGATGCATGATATGCCATTGTGTGACTGTACCATATTTTCTTTAGCCATTTGTCCATTGATAGATACTTGAGTTGTTTCCAGTTCTTTGCTGTAGTAAGTAATGCTGCAGTAAACTTACATGGGTATATGTTAATTTGTGCTGCATTTTGAGGGGGATATATACCAAGTAGTGGGGTTATAGGCCAAATGGTGTTTCTATTCCCAGATTTCTATAGAAGAACCAAAGTGCTTTCCAGCGTGGTTACAACATTTTACAAACCCATCAGCACTGTGAGAAAGTTTCTGTCTCTCCACCCTTGCCAGCATTTGTTGTTTGCTGTCTCAGTGAACTTTGCTTTTGATGGTAGGGTGAGATTATATCTCATTGTTTTGATTTGCATTTCTCTTAACAATTTATGCCAGAACTCTAGTAGCATAGTGGATAAGGAGTTGTGCTGCCAACACAAAGGCACTTGGTTCAAATCCACCAGCTGCTCCTTGGGAGAAAGATGGGGAGTCTCCTTCTATGTGATTAACAGCTTCTGAAAACCCACTGGAGGATCAGCTATAAATCATTTCTGACTTAGTGGCATCTAACAACAGTAGCTAATGATTTTGAGCATTTAGAGAAAGGTCTATTCATGTCCTCTGCCCATTTTGTAATTCAGTTCTTTTTTCTTGTTGAGGTGTTGGAGTTTTCTATATACTGCAGACATGAGTCCCTTTTCAGATAAATCATTGCCAAGTATTCCCCCCCCTCCCATTTTCCTTTTATTCTTTTGGAGAAGTCTTAAGATGCACATAAGGATTTATGGAATTCACTGCATTTTAAAATCTAAATACCTTAGTCTTCTCAGTCCACCACTTGGTTATATGCAGTTTCCCCACATTTAGACTCAGTTTTTACTGAGCAATCTGTTTTTTTGTAGCATGTATTTGCTGAGTAGCCCTGGTGTAAAAAGACACTTGAGGGAAACTGGACTTTAGGATTTTTTAAAATTCTTTAGTCAAACTGGGCAGAGAAGAAATTGAAAAGTAGAGGAAATTACTATTTTCCAGAGCAAACTAAAATGGAGACTGGGACAAGTCTGCTGCACAGTAGACATCCTTAATAACATCAGTTATTGTTTTCTATTCAATGCTAGACATAGTGTCTTATGCATACCAGGCACTGGATAATTATATTTAAATAAGTTACTATCTAGATGCATTTAATATTTTCATCTACTGCCTGTGTTAATCATAGGATCTTAAAAAATAAGGAGGTAAGATCTTTGTGATTTCTTCATATAACTTCCAGTGTTAAATATTGTGAGAGATGAACTGCTTGAGGGGCCAAAGAACGGATTTGTTCTAGGTGGAATGGGCAGCACCAGAGCTGTCATGGGAGAGGAAATGGGAGATGAGAGAATGACGGTACAAATATCTGGTATTTCTTCTTTCCCAAATAGGTCAGAGTTTACCAGCAGGGACTCGCAGAGTTCCGACAAGCAGATTCTCAACATCTACGACCTGTGCAACAAGTTCATAGCTTATAGCACCGTCTTTGAGGACGTAGTGGATGTGCTTGCTGAGTGGGGCTCCCTGTATGTGCTGACGCGGGATGGGCGGGTCCACGCACTGCAGGAGAAGGACACACAGACCAAACTGGAGGCAAGGCCACCAGGTTCCCAGAGCTGGCCACAGACACCCAGAAGAACAGGAACAGGCTCCCCAGGTCACCTTGGCTAGGGTGTTTCCTCCACTTTGGGTCACAGCCTTCCTCAGCCTCTTAGAGTAGGATTACAAGGTAAAGAGCCTGGGATGAGGCCTCGAGGGAAGTAGTGGCTGGAAGGAAAGCTGTAGCCTACTATTGGGATCCTCTTGGCAGAGAACTTTGTAAGGTGAGATGATACTGAGCTTAGGGGGAACGTAGAAGGCTCTGACCTTTAATCTAGGAGTTAGCTAGATTGAAACTTCTGTGATGTCTGATTTTTATTGTGGGTATATTCTGTCTTCTCTGGATTGCATCAACTATTTTTCTAATCTTTCTTTATTTAGATGCTGTTTAAGAAGAACCTGTTTGAGATGGCGATTAATCTGGCCAAGAGCCAGCACCTGGACAGCGATGGGCTGGCCCAGATCTTCATGCAGTATGGTGACCATCTCTACAGCAAGGGCAACCATGATGGGGCTGTCCAGCAGTATATCCGGTCAGTCTGGAGGTGCTTTGTGAGCTGCGAATGCTTGGGCAGGAACAGACAAGCAGGCTAATTCTTTTGCTCGGAGTAGGATGTTGAACTCCACCAGGAGCAATTTTTATTTTGCATAACTTTTGTTTTTACACACTGATAGGAATGTTTGACCAGTGTGTAAATGGGCTTATGACTACAACTTGTTTTCTATTTTAGCCTAGCCTTTGTTAAAAATAATAATTATGACAGTCCTTTGAAGAGTAAACAGTATTCATATCTTGATTTCACACTTCCTTTCCTTGCTGCATGTTTCTTGGAATTTTCTGCCCAGGTAAGAGTTATGGGAACTGCTCTGACTTCTTTCCCACGCCATCCGCAGTTCCTGTTAGTAGCTGCTAGAGCCGTGCTACTCAGCGTGCTCCTTAGTCTGGTAGCATCAAGATCACCTGGGAATTGGTTAGAAATGCAGAATCTAACAGGAATAAAATACATGTTTTAAGAAGATCTGCAAGTAATATCTGTGCCTATCTGTGCCAAACATTTTCTCCTTAATCTGTAGATCTCTGGGTTTTTGAAGTACACATAAGGATTCCATTTTTAGGTCCCATTCATCTACTTCTTCATCTAGATCTTTGTGCAGTTTTTTTTATGTTTGCTAGTCTAGTTATGCTGTAAATCAAAGACCCTAAGTTTGCGTTTTAAAAAAAAAAAGTTATCTGTAGTTTTAGGTTTTACATTTAGGGCTTTGATCCCTATCTTGAGATCTCTATTTTATGTATGTGAAATGAAACTTCAAAATCCTTGTCTCTAAGAAGCAGCCTGGTTTCATCCTTTCCAAGGCGACTTATTTATTCTTTTGGGGATCCATGTTATGTTTATTACTCTTCTCCAGCACCACAACTCAAGGCATTGATTGTTTTTTTGTCACCCTTAGTCATTGTCCAGCTCTCTGATGAATAGCAAAATATTGTGAAGACTTTAGCTCAGGCACACCTTAGTCTCTAGACTAACATCATTGCTCTTTAGCACTTTGGAGAGGTCCCTGACAGCAATTTCCCCAGTGCCATTGTCTTTTGATTTTCTGACTCCTGGTGTCAACAGTGTTGATTTTGGGGCCCAGCAAACTAAAATTGGTTAGCACCCTCAATCTCTTCTCCATTGGTCATGGTGTTGCCATTTGGCCCAGTGGTGAGAATCTTTGTTTTCTTGATGTTGAGCTTCAATCCACATTGAAGACTGCATCTCTGGTCTTATCATCTGCAAATTGCAGGTGGTTGATGAGTCTTCTACCAATCCTGATGCCACATTTCTCTGTGCTCACCAGATTTTGCCAAGAAATCTGGAGAGTCACTACCTGACCAACTGACTAGAAGAGATCCATATTTATTCCCATTCCAAAAAAAGGTGATCTGATAGTGTGGAAATTATCAAACTATCACTATTACACAAGCAAAATCTTGCTGATGATTATCCAAAACTGACTGGAACAGTACATTGACAGAGAACTACCAGAAATGCAATCTGGGTTTAGAAGAGGCTGTGGCACTAGGGACATGATGACTAGTGTTGAATGAATCTTGGCTGAAAGCAGAGAGTACCAAAGGATTGTCTATTTGTGTTTCCTTGACTATGCAAAGGCATTTGTGTGGATAACAGCAAATTGTGGCTATCTTTGAGAAGAATGGGAATCCCAGAAAACTTGATTGTGCTCATGTGAATCCTATACTTAGATCAGGAGGCAATGGTCAGACAGAGCAAGGAAACACTGCATGGTTCATAATCAGGAAAGGAGTGCATCCTGTCTCCATACCTTTTCAATCTGTATTCAAAATAGATCATTTGGGAGGCTGGGCTTGATGAGGAGGAATGTAGCACTGCTGCAAATAAGACATCAAGTTTTTCCAGGAGCGTTTGTTACAGAGACTGTTTCTTCCCCATTTAATGGCTCTTCGTCAAAGATCAGCTTTTCATAGGTAGATTGATAGGCTTGTGGTTTCTTACTCCTGTTCTGTTAGTCTGTGTCTGATGTACCATTACCACACTGTTTTGACTGCTGTGGTTATGTAGAAATCTTGCCTTTCTGTATAAAATTATATCTCTTTAAAGAATGTTAACAGAAGAAACTGAATAACTGAATATTGATAGAAGGTGGATCAGGATCACAGTGTATATACAGATTATTTTGTGTAGTATTGACAGTTTGCAACGTTAAGCTTCCAGTCCATGAGCATGATATGTTCTTTCATTTATTTAGTTCTTTGCCCATTAAAGTTTGAGAAGTACTTTGATGCACATGTCTCCACAGAACAATTGGAAAGCTGGAGCCATCCTATGTGATCCGCAAGTTTCTGGATGCTCAGCGCATCCACAACCTGACTGCCTACCTGCAGACCCTGCACCGGCAATCTCTGGCCAATGCCGACCATACTACCCTACTGCTCAATTGCTATACCAAGCTTAAGGACAGTTCAAAGCTGGAGGAATTCATCAAGGTAAAGGACGGGGTGAGGGCATGAGTGCTCTACCACACTTGCCCTTCGGCAGTATGCACGGAAAGGAAAGAGCTGACTTATTAAGGGAACAAGGCCCATTCTATAAATGAGAGAGTTCCTCCCGTCTTCCTTCCTGTTCCATGCTACTAGTCTTCTATAGTTGGCATTTGGGAAGGTTTCAGAAAAGCCCATGTAAAGGTAGGACAGAGAAAATTTTTGGCTTTTAGTCAAAAGCTTCTGAGAGATAGGAGCACATAATGGGGTTTTGTTTATCCTGATTGGAGTAAAAATGTACAATTAGTTTTTCCTTCAATCATTCATGTGCAGTTTGTTTTAAAACAGTAATTGTTATTACCCCAAATAGAATTACACTTTTTCTACTTTCTCCCTGAATCTCTCATTTCTATTAATCCCTTCCTGCTTCTTGGCTTTTATCTTGGTAAATGCTGCTTTTTTTGAACTTATATTGTTGGTTATTTTAAGGCCTGCTTCCCTGGTGTTACTGGCTACTTTATAAGCCTGGTGGCTGAAACTTGAGCCATGGCATGAGTTTCATTCCAGGCTCAAAGGGTTAACTAAGGGCCCTTGTTCTTGGGGTTCCACCAGTCTCTGTCTGGCCTTTATGTTTTTGAGTTGTGTTTTGCCTTCCTATTCTATCCATGATCATCTAATGTGATCTTTTAGCTAGGCACCATCCAGTTCTCATCTCTCACATTGTTTTAAAAGCAGGAATTCTGCAGCCATACTGCCTGGTTTTGAATATAGGGTTGACCATTTACTATTCCTATTATCCTGGTCAGTTCACTTCATTTATTTGAGCTTCAATTTCTTCATCTGTAGAATAATAATGCTAATAAGAGTCATTTTGGGGATTGAAAGAATTACATATTTAACACACTATACTCATAGAAAGCGCTATTTTAAAAAAGAAGTGTTTGATGTTTTAATTTTTACTACTGTAGATTTATGGATCTTGTCTTGGGCTCAAATGCAGTTTCTTCTCCTTTCTGTCACCATAACCTCTGTGTGGATAATCTTGTCTTATTTTTCCCCGACAGACGAAGAGTGAGAGTGAAGTACATTTTGATGTGGAGACAGCCATCAGGGTTCTGCGACAGGCCGGCTACTACTCCCATGCTCTCTATTTGGCAGAGAACCATGCACATCATGAGTGGTACCTGAAGATCCAGCTTGAGGACATTAAAGTAGGTGGAACATTTTAAGCCCTGTTTTTTCGAGACTTTCCCTTAAATGGGGAGAGTGCTTCCTGGGAGGTGAACTAGGAGTATGACCTCACTCCGACCTTTGCTTCTTCACAGAATTACCAGGAAGCCCTTCGGTACATTGGCAAGCTGCCTTTTGAGCAGGCCGAGAGTAACATGAAGCGCTATGGCAAGACTCTCATGCACCACATACCAGTGCAAACTACCCAGTTGCTCAAAGGACTCTGTACTGATTATCGGCCTAGCCTTGAAGGCCGAGGCGAGAGGGAGGCTGCGGGCTGCAGGGTGAGACTTGTGGTAGAACAGCTTTGGGACACAAGGACTAGTTTCGGGTTAGACACTAGTTAGACACAAATCTAACTTTCTGCTCTTCTCCCTTGCCATCCTAGGCCAACTCTGAGGAGTTCATTCCCATCTTTGCCAACAACCCACGAGAACTGAAGGCCTTCCTGGAGCACATGAGTGAGGTGCAGCCTGACTCACCTCAGGGTATCTACGACACACTTCTTGAGCTGAGGCTACAGAACTGGGCTCATGAGAAGGATCCACAGGTGCGATCTGGGCAAAAATCACAGGAGGTGCTGGAGAAAAGATAATTCTTACTTGTGGTGCATTCCTTAGGAAGGACCAATAACCCCTACCTTTGGGCTAAGTGGTCCTCAGCAAAGAACTAGAACTGAAGTAAAGAAATAGTTGACTTGTGAGTTTTTCAGTCTGCCCAGTAGCTGTTCCCTTCCTCTTCCTAGGTCAAAGAGAAGCTTCACGCAGAGGCCATCTCCCTGCTGAAGAGTGGACGCTTCTCTAATGTCTTTGACAAGGCCCTGGTCCTCTGCCAGATGCATGACTTCCAGGATGGGGTCCTTTACCTTTATGAGCAGGGGAAGCTGTAAGAATTGGAGGGATTTCAGGGTAAGGAGAAGGTATCCAGGTGACTTGCCTGGGACAACCACTGAGGTGTGTCATTTCTCCGGCCCCAGGTTTCAGCAGATTATGCACTATCACATGCAACACGAGCAGTACCGGCAGGTGATTGCCGTGTGTGAGCGCCATGGAGAGCAGGAGCCCTCCCTGTGGGAACAGGCCCTCAGCTACTTTGCCCGCAAAGAGGAGGACTGCAAGGAGTACGTGGCCGCTGTGCTCAAGCATATCGAGAACAAGAACCTCATGCCACCCCTTCTAGGTACTTGGGTACAGAGGTAGCAAGCTGCTAACAATGGAGCTCTGAGGAGGGACCTCTAGCTCTGTCCAGGAAGCATTGTTGGTTCATTGTCTCATTTCTTCCTGGACCCAATTTTAGTGGTGCAGACCCTGGCCCATAACTCCACAGCCACCTTGTCCGTCATCAGGGACTACCTGGTCCAGAAGCTGCAGAAACAGAGCCAGCAGATTGCACAAGATGAACTGCGAGTGCGGCGGTACCGGGAGGAGACCACCCGCATCCGACAGGAGATCCAGGAGCTCAAGGCAAGGTATGTGGTGTCTGGGAGTGTGGAAGGGCCCTGGGATAGCCACCTTCCTCACTGTTACTACATAACTTATTTTATTTTCTTCATTTTAATGAACATTTACGGAGATTTTGGATTTCCATCCATTCATTGTTGCATTTTTCTCCCTGCCCACCCCTCCCCTCCAGTTCACTCTTCTCTTTGAAAAGTAAAAGAAAATTTCTTTTCATTGGTATACAATTCCCACCTACCCCTACCCCACCCCAGTACAATCCACTATGCAGCCTTCATTCTGGACTCTTGTCATGACCATAATACCCAATCATATATCGCTTTTAAACTGTTTTCTCCCTCATCTGTTTCAATGAAGTATACATAATTTATTCAGTTTTTCTCAGTCTCACCCCAACCATGATGTCAGTCCTGTTTTACAACATTGGCACCATGCAGTATTTGTCCTTTTGTGATCGAGATACTTCACTCAGCATAATGTCCTCGAGGGTCACCATTTTGAATAATACTGCATGAGTTCCTTGTTTTTCAATGCAGAATAGTATTCCATTGTGTGACTATACTACAGCATCTCTAGCTGTTTGTTTCTTGATGAGCACTTAGGTTGTTTCCAACTCTTTGCTATTATGAACAAAGCCACAGTCAACATGGGTGCCCATATGTCTGCCTGGTGGCAGTTATGGTTTCTTTAGGGTATATTCCCAGTAGAATTGCTGGGTCAAATGGTATTTCTATTTGCAACGTTTTGAGAAAGTACCATACTGCCTTCCATAATGGTTGCACCATTTTACATTCCCACCAACAGTGAATAAGGGTTCCTGTTTCTCCGCAAACTTGCCAGCATAGGTTGCTATTCTTACTGGGGTGAGACGATATGTCATAGTTGTTTTTTTATTTTGGTTTTTTTTTATTATTATTAAATTTTATTCGTTTTAATGAACATTTACAGAGATTTGGGGTTTTCATTCATTCATTGTTGCAGTCATAGTTGTTTTGATTTTTATTTATTTATTTATTTATTTTAATTTTTGTGTATGCGTGTACTGTCAAATCAGATCTGACTGGTATAGGAGGATATTGCTCCTCCTTCCCCGGCAGAGCATCTGGTGGGTTCGAACCGTGCGCCTCTGGGATTGTAGTTGCAGTTCCTTGCCACTAGGCCACCAGAGCTCCCCTCTGTTTTTATTTTCATCTCTCTTAGAGCTAGGGATTTTGAACATTTCTTCATGTGCTTGTTGGCCATCTGAATGTCTTCTTTGGTGAAGTGTCTGTTCATATCCTGTGCCCATTTTTCAGCTGGTTTATTTACCTTTATCTTGTGGTGCTCAAGTATTTTATAAATTCTAGATATAAGTCCCTTATCTGACATTGACTCTCTAACCCAACATCTCCAGAAAATTGAAAATAATAAAAAACCAGCAAGAAAACCTGACACCCTCTAAAAACCCTGAAATTATAAAAATTAGAGCCGAAATAAATGAAATAGGAAACCAAAAAAACAATTGAAACTATCAACAAAACTAGGAGTTGGTTCTTTGAAAAAGTCAATAAAATTGACAAACCATTAGCAAAAGTCACAAAAGAAGACATAGATAATCCGAGTAAGAGATGAATCAGGCAACATCACAACAGAACCAACTAAGATAAAAAGGTTAACATTAGAGTATTATGAAAAACTATACTCAAGCAAATATGAAAACCTAGAGAAAATGTAAAAATACTTAGAAATTAGGCTTGGTTCTTGAAAAAAAAAAGAGAAAAAAACTAATTTTTAAAAAAAAATAGAAATGCACAACCTACCTAAACTGACACAAACCGAAATTGAACATCTGAACAGACACATTACAAAAGAAGAAATTGAAAAGGTAATAAAACAACTTCAAAGCAAAAAAAGCCCTGGACCATATGGTTTTACAAGTGAATTTTATCTAACATTCAGAGAACTGTCAGAATTCTACATAAACTATTTCAGAAAATAGAAAAAGTTGGAATTCTCCCAAACTCATTCTATGAAGCAAACATATCCTTGATACCAAAGCCAGGAAAGGACACCACCAAAATAGAAAACTGTAAGCCAATATCTCTTATGAACATAGATGCAAAAATCCTGAATAAAATACTGGCCAATAGAATCCAGTGATATATCAAAGAAATAATTCACCATGACTAAGTGGGATTCATAACAGGTATTACATAACTTTTCATAGTGTTAACTGAATTATGTTTGAGTACCTCCAGTCTTGAAGATCTCTTTTAGTGGAGGCATTAGAAATAGTGGTTTATGACATAGGTCATTATTTATTTGGCTTTGTAAGATTTCTTGTAACAGGTAATTTTCTTTATGAATGTGCCTTTATTTTGCCTCTTCTAAGTGTACTTATAAGTGAACTGTGGTGGTGTGGTGCAGCAAGTTGTGCTACTAACCCCATGGCTGTGTGTCTCCCACAGTTCATGTCCACCAGCAGTTCCTCAGGAGAATGATGGGCAGTCTCCTTCCATAATAATTTACAGTCTCAGAAACGCTTTTGGGCATCACTGTGAATCAGAACTAACTCAAAAGCAGTGAGGTGTTTTTGGTGGTGGTGGTTTAAGGGCACATACTGGTTGGAACTAATTTTGAAATAAAAACTTTGCTTTGGAAATTAAGAAATTGGGTAATTCAGAAGTACTGTTAGTAAGTAGTAGGCTGAAAGGTTGGCTGTTTGAATGCACCCAGAGGTGCCTCAGAAGGCAGGCCAGGTGATCTCCCTCTAAAAGACCACAGCCTTGAATTGAAAGCTCTAGGAGCTGTTCTGTTCAGCACCCTACCAATCACCATGATGGCAACTAATAGCAGTATGGTAGATGTTAATCCCTATTATTAAGTCTTGATGAGTTGTTGTGGAGTCAGACTCATAGCTGACCCTCCAGCGAATTTTCAGAGGTTGTAAATCGCACAGAAAGAGATTGTCCATCTTCTCCCTTGGAGCAACAGGTAGAATCTAACCACCAGTCTTTGTGTTGGCAGCACAGTCTTTATCCACAAGGTCACTAGAGTTCTCTCTACTATCAAGTTATAACCACCATTAAAATGAGACTTTTTGAGGGGAAAAAAATTTTAATTTTAATCCTGTATTTATTAAGGTGGAATAATTCCTTCATTCCATAAGTACTTGCTAAACTCCTCTTAAGCCCTAAGCACTCTTCTGAATGGAGACCAAACACCTGCTTTCATGGAGCTTATATCGCAGAGGAGAAAGCAGACAGTAAATGTGTTTTATCAGTAAAATAGTGTTAGATGGTGATAGATTATTAATTGGGAAGGGAAATGGAATAAGGAGTACGTGTTGTAATTTACTAAAAGAGCTCACAGATTAAAAATAGAGAACCAAGGGGAGCTCTGGTGGCCTAGTGGTAAGGAGCTGCAACTATAATCCCAGAGGTGCACGGTTTGAATCCACCAGATGCTCTGCTGGGGAAGGAAGAGGCAATCTCCTCCTGTACCAGTCAGATCTGATTTGACGGTACACTCACACAAAAAAAAAAGAAAAAAAAAAAAGAACCAGAAGTATGAGTCTATAAGTGAGGACAACTACAGTGCTCGAAGAGGGAATATTGTTGTTATGTGCCATCATGTCAGCTATGAAAGAGGGAATAGGAAGTGTTAATTGTAGAACTTCCAAGTGGAGAAGAAGTCAAGGAGCTTTCAAGATAAGATGAACTGTTTCTAACTTGCAGATAAAAATAACTTACAGGGAAACCACCAGGAAATTTAAACCTTCTCATCAAAATGAAGAAAATCATAAAGAAAAACAGCAGCAATTAATAAAATGATAATATAAGCCATGAGCAAAATGAACCCAGCACAAAAACAGATGAAACAGAAAAGTCAGCGATCATTAAAAACCAATCAAGAATTTGTGAAATAGTGCACAGCATGGATGAATCTAAACAGTTATACTGAGTGCCATAGTCATTCACAAAAGGACAGCTGTGGTCTAAGGTTACTGCTATGTTGTGGTGTACCATCAAGTCAGAACCAATTGACTCGTAGCTGACCCTCCAGTGGGTTTCAGAGGCAGTTAATTGCACAGGAGGAGATTGCCCATCCTTCTCGTGCGGAGCACCTGGTCGATTTGAACCTTCAAGATTGTAGTGCAACTTCTTACCACTAGGCCACCAAAGCTCCCTAAGATTACTAATTTAAAAAGCTAATGATAGGTTTACACATAGAACCAATCTTGGAGGGTTAATAAGAATGAGAAGGGAGAAAGAAGAGAGCAGAATTTTTAAGTTGGGTGAAAGGAAAGGCAATACTAAGAGTTTGACTAGACATTGTAATAAATTACAATTACAATGTCATTAGTTCTTGTAATTAGTTTTCTTAATGGTAATGTTGTAAGATAAAATATCTATGAATGAAAAAAAACAGTATAACTGGAAAACTTAGATTTTTAAAAAAGAAAAGCTTCAACTGAAAGGGTCACATCTGAGTTGTTGTTAATGTGCAGTTGAGTCACTTGGCAACTCATAGTGACCCAGTGTACAGTAGTTCTGAACCCTGCTCTATCCTGTGCCAACCTTATTGTGTCTCTGACACACCAACCCCCATTACTCGAGTCACTGAGTCAATCCATCTCATCTGAGTAAAGACCTAAAAGATAACTTAATGGCAATTGAGGAACAGAAACTATCTCACGTGGGCTCTTGGTGGTTGTCCTCATTTGACCTTAAAATGGTATGATGGATCAGGCCTTAACAGGAACCTCTCCGGCTACCTTCTCTGTTTACTTGGCTCTTGGTCTTGTCCCTGTTAGACCGTGGACTTAAGAAAGAGATCAGAGAAGAAGCAAGCAAGCTTAAAAGCAGCTTTACTAGGGGAGCTCCTGGGCGAGGATCCTCCTTCTGAAGATGCAGGAGGAGGAAGTCGCACTTTGTGAGCATATTGGGAAGGGTTTTTATAACAGGGTCTTTAGGGACAGTAGGGAGGGACATTCCATTGTGATTTATGGTTCATCATTAGTTCAGCCAGGTGGGCAAGGCTGTTCACTCTTCTTATCAACATTCTTTGAATTCTTCATTCTCACCCTTGACCCCCTGTCCAGACCTAACAGTCTCCATTATTGGCCATTCATTGTTTGTCTCCTCTGTAGTCCTAAGATCTTCCAGAAGACCAAGTGCAGCATCTGTAACAGTGCCTTGGAGTTGCCCTCGGTCCACTTCCTGTGTGGCCACTCCTTCCACCAGCACTGCTTTGAGAGTTACTCGGAAAGTGATGCTGACTGCCCCACCTGCCTTCCTGAAAATCGCAAGGTCATGGACATGATTCGGGCCCAGGAACAGAAACGGGATCTCCATGATCAGTTCCAGCACCAGGTAGGGATGAGTCGGGTAGACTTCCACCAGTGTCTAGTTTCGGGGAACTAGAGGGCTTATTACTTTTCTCAGCTTTGCAAGGTGAGGGCATTTAAGAAATGAGTCCTGGGGAGCTCTGGTGGCCTAGTGGCAAGAAGCTGCACTGCAACCCCTGAGATAATGTGGTTCAAATCCACCAGATGGCTCTGCCAGAGAAGGAGGGGCAATCTCCTCCTGTACCAGTCAGATCTGATTTGACGGTACAGACACACACACAAATTAATAAAATTTTAAAAATTAAAAAAAGAAAAATAAATGAGTCCTTTAATTGTTCCCTCCTCTTCCTCTACAGCTCAAGTGCTCCAATGACAGCTTCTCTGTGATTGCTGACTACTTTGGCCGAGGCGTTTTCAACAAATTGACTCTGCTGACTGACCCTCCCACAGCCAGACTGCCCCCAAGCCTGGAGGCTGGGCTCCAGCGGGATCTGCTCATGCATTCCAGGAGGGGAACTTAAGGAGCTCTTGGAGAGGGCTATGACAGTGAAGGCCCTGCAGTGTGGACACAGGGAGAGGCACAGCTCTTGGGCAAGAGACAAGCAGATGTACCCAGGACCTCTCCGATCTGATGCTATAGCCTCAGGACTTTCCTGCTTCCTGCCTTTGCCAGCCTGCTATGACTTCTGTTCACGGTTTTCAGCAGTGTGGGCCATTCCAGACCAATGGGGGATGGCACCTTGGCAGCGTCTGAGTGTGGACAACAGCTGCTTTATTCTTCATCCTAGAGCACCAGGCTGTGCTTGAGTCCCTGCTCCTAGTCTATAAATAAAATGATTTGAAACTTAAAGCATTTTAGAGATTTTGTGGTGATTCTTAATTATACTTAATGTACTTCCTTCCCTCTGTCCTAAGAGATTCCTACTTTCTTCCCACAGATGAAGTGGGAAGAAGTTCCACTTCCCTTCCTTTAAGAACACGTGGACTTAATGTCATGCCTGTAATGGATGGGAGCTGCAATTCTGCAATCCCAAAGGCATTTCGTTCGAATCTACCAGCTGGTCTGTGGAAAAAGGATGGGCAATCTCCCGTGTGATTTACTGCCTCTGAAAACCTGCTAGAGGATCAGCTGTGAGTCTGTTCTGACTTCACAGCACACAACAACACAATTTACTGAAAAAGCTTTAAGATTTGGTGGTTGAGTTCCAGAAGTAGGCTGGAATTAGGCAGATCAAATCACACTTGGTCTTGATGTCTGTCTCTGTGGCTGCAAAGTATCAAAGCAAGAGGCAGATCCTGGTGTGGAGTCGTGGGCTTCATACTGGGGAGATTAGTGTTGTACTGTATTTTGTACCAGACTTAAAACAGGATAAAGCCCTTTTATTGAGATTTGTCCATCTTGAAGTTGGCTGTTGCTGAGCTGCTGTCCATAACTTGTTGGAAAGTGGCTCCTATGGGATTGGTTTAATTGAAGGATGCATTGTTGATGTTGTTTCAGATATATTTAGAAGAGGCTGTATGTGGTGCCTAAAAATACAGCAATTAGTTGACTTACCTGAATCCTGATTATGTTGTTTGCCTTAAGGCAAAATGCTTACCTGCTCTGCATTTCAATTTCTTTACCAGTACTTAGAACACCTACCTTGCTTTTATGAAACATGTAAGCAGTTAATGGTGTCTAGTTCTTTGTACAGCAGTTATCAGTAGATGGGGGCCCCATACACGGTTGTCATTATTAATGTTAGAGGAAAACGCACTTCTAACTAGCATATTTCCATGTAACAATAATACAGTCTTGGCATGGCAGTGTCATAGTTGTCTTTTGGTATGATAGTTAACCTCTACACCAATTTTCTCATTCATACAGAAACGGTGCCTAAATCAAGACAGCAAAAATATTTCAACAGAAGACCCATCTCAAAAGCAGGGAAACTTTTTTAGAAAGGTCCTGGACAGGGCAGATTGGCTAATGTGCTTGCCTGCAATTCGAAATCCTGGGAGCTTGAGTTCACTCTTCCAGAAGAAAGGCTTGGTGATGTATTTTTTTTTTAAACTTCAGCAGTGGAAAATCCTGTGATAATGTTATGTGCCATCGAATCACCTGTGACTCATTGGCTCTGAATGCTGCCCTATCCTGAGCCAATCTCATTGTCTCTGACAGACCTAATCTCATTTCTCCAGTCACTGAGTCGATCCATCTCATCCAGGGTCTTCCACTTCTGTGCTGACCCTCCAGTTTTCCAAACATGACGTCCTTCTCCAAGGATTGGTCCCTTCTGGCCATTTGCCCAAAGTATGTGAGACAGAGCTTCAAAAACCTTGCTTCCAGGGAGCAGCTTGGTTTCACTTTTTCCAGAACAGACCTGTTTGTTCTCCTGGTAGTCCACTGTTAGGTTTAACACACTTTTCCAGCACCACAACTCAAAGGCATCAATCTCCTGTCGTCCTTTGTTATTGTCCAGCTCTCTGATGCATAACAAGTATTTGTGAAGACCATGGCCTGTATCAGGCACACCTTAGTCTCCAGACTGACATTGTTGCTCGTCAGTACTCTGGCAAGGTCCCAGACAGCAGACTTTCCCAAAGTAATTAGTCTTTTGGTTTTCTGTCCTTGATATTCTCTGTAGCAAACACCTCATATCCTCCTCAGTTTTAGCAAGCAAGACTGTGTCATCTGTGTAACTCAGGTTGTTGATGAGTCTTCTCCAATCCTGATGCTATGTTGCTCCTCATAAAGCCCAGCCTCTCAAATGATCCTATAGCGCAGTTCTTTTATTCACACCTGAGGTCACATAAGTCAGAATCTACACGACAGCAACTGGTATGCTTTCTGGAGCAGCCCTTTTATTTGCACTTTACAAGAGTAGCTTAGGGGCCCAGTGACTTGCTTAAGGGCCCTTGGCTTGGTTTTGTGTGTGTAAATATACAAAATAAAACCTACCATCTCAACAAATTTTCTGTGTACAATTCCGTGACAATGACTGCTACTTATAAAAAAAGCTTCCAAGCAAAAACTCCTTCCTCATCTCTCATAACCATTAATAGTCTTTGCTTTCTACATATTTGCTTAGATAAGTGAGGTCATAAAGCAGTTTACTCACTAGTAAAGGAATTTTGTTTTTACTAGATCCTTTAGGGCACGATTATTGCCTTAGGTGGCGTCTGGAGGGAGTACAGGCAGATCTTGGCTGCTGACCATCAGTAGAATTGGCTCAGACAGTAGTGGTAGCCAAAACAAGAAAGAAGTGATAGGTTTAGGTTTCAGAGCAGGCTGTCTGGGGTAACACTCATCAGCCAGGTAAAAAGCGCTCGGCTGTCACAACCGGTCCAGTTTCCGCCCAGAGGAAAGCACCTCCCCTACGGGACGGCGCCGGAAGTGACACTCTGCCAGCACGGATCCCGAAGGCTGGGGTGTAGGAAGAGCTCAGGCCCACGTGCCCCAAAAACCGGCCATCCGGAGCCTCTGGTTCTCTAGACCCCTAACGGACCTTAATGACACTTCCCTGGTCTCCTTCTCGAGCACAGCCATGTCTGGCCACGGTGACGCGGCTGCAACGACGGTGAGTTCTGTACGGGTGACCCTTACTACTTCGGCTTGCCGGATCAGCGATGCAATGATTGGTCCCAGATTGCCATCCTCCGTTGTCTATTGGTTGGAGCGTCTATCAGTCTTTTTTTTTTTTTAAATTTCGGAAAGATTTTAAAGGGCCAGCTGCTGAAGGTGTCTTTGAAAGAAGGGAGTCAGGTAGCGGTGGAGGCGGGGTTAAGAGCGGTGGTGGGGTTTTCGTGAGAAGATTCTCACCAGTAACTGAGTAGGATTCCCACTATGTCACGTCCAGGGATCTAGATTTAGTAACCCAGTTTGGGAAGTCTGTATGCAACAGTGATTCCACGTGATCCTTCCACAGCTCTCAGGCCTGATGACAGGTTGCAGTGATCCTAGGAAGATGTTCCACCCCGGTTTCGGAAAGGAGATGATACCCTCAAGTATTCTTACTGCACATATACTTATTAGAAGTGCGCCCTGCCTTTCTCCCGTTTTCATTTTGCCGGTCACCTGGTGTAAGCTCTAATGAACCCCTGTGACTAGGCCATTAAGTGTTGGGCTGCTAACAGAAAGGCTTGTGGTTTGAATCCACTAACTGCTTTGTTGGAAAAACAAGAGGCAGCATGTAAAGATTTACTTGAGGAAAGATTTACATCAGGAAAACCTGGTGGCGGGTATCTAGAGTGAGAATAAACTCACAGGTAGTGTTTGGGGTGTTTTTCTTTTTGGCTGGCTGGTTAGTAAACTGTAGGCTACTAAGTTTGACAGTTTGCACCCACCACAGGTTCCTCTGAAGAAAGCTCTAGTAATCACCATGGGAAAAGTCATTACCACTGAAAACCATGTGGAGCACAGTCCCACTGTGACACATAGAGGGCCACCTTGACTCTAGATATGTGACAGCTAGTTTAGTTTTATCCTTTCAGAGCCCCACTAGTTAAGACAGACCTGTAGGTTACTACTGGGAGCAGGTGGGGCATCCTTGCTGAGTTTGTACAGATCTAAACTGCAGAGGCTGGTTATGGCCAGCTTGTGATAAGAGAGAGGGAGGTGGGGCAGGTGCCTATCTCTTCCCCTCCAGCTTGCTGGTGAGGAATGGGATTGTTGCCTTTGCTGACAACTCAGAGCACGGGGTTAGGAATAGGAAGCCCTGGATTCTAGTTTCAACTCTCAGCCCAAGCTCGATGTGTGATTCAGGATAAGTTACACTTTACCTTTCAAAGCTGGCCTTTACACCTCTGTAAAATGAATGTAAAATGCCTGCCCTGAGGTTTAGGATACCTTTGAAGAGTAATTAAAACAACACAAATACCAAACCCAACCCATCCTGGACCCTGTAAAGTTCATAGCCCCGTGCTAGTATTAGTTGGCTTAATGACTCATTGAGTGACCCTATGAACAACAGATTTGAACTTTGCCCTAACCAGCCCCATTCTCATGACATGCGATAGGCTACAGCCTCATTTTGCATGTGCTGCTGAGTCAGAATTGACTCATAGCTGACCCTCTAGTGAGTGGGTTTTCAGAGGCTGTATACATCACAAAGGAAGACTGCCCATCTTTCTCTCATAGAACATCTGGTGGATTTTAACCACCTTTTGGATTGGCAGTGCATCTCCTTACCACTTAACTACCATAGTTTCCTAATCTATACATCTTTATAGAAACAAACTGTCTCAGGGAGCTCTGATGGCCTCATGGCAAAAAGCTGCACTGCAATCCCAGAGGTATGCGGTTCGAATCCACCAGATGCTGTGCTGGAGAAGGAAGGGCAATCTCCTCCTGTACCAGTCAGATCTAATCTGCTGGTACACACACAAAAATAATAAAAAAAATTTTTTTTAAAGAAAGAAACTGTCTCTAAATTGGTAAAGCTTAATAGACGCATACTGCCACATCTTTCTCCCACAGTGAGGCCCAGCTGCTAACCTTTCAGATAGTAGCACAGTGCTTTAACCACCAGGCCACTTTCAAGGAGCAGCAGAGCACTTTAACCACCATGCTGTCATTCACTCACTTACTCCTTGCCATTGAGATGGAACTTACTCATAGCTGACCCTCCAGCCGGTCCCAAGGCTGTAAATAGCACAGGTGATTGCCCCATCTTTCTCTTCCGGAGCAGCTGGTAGATTCGAACCACAGGAGAGGCACAGCCTTTAAGTTTGCAGCACAACTTCCTACAGAATATGCCACCAGAGTTCCTTAAAAACAAACAGTAAGTGCTCAATACTTTTTCTTTTTTGTCCACAGACTGTTTTATTATGCTGGGGCTTGTGGGGATGAATAGAACCAGCTATGATTCTCTTTTCTCAGATGGGTCCACTGTCTCCAGATCAGGCCAAGAGCTGTGCCTGGGGCAGCGCTGTCTCCTGGTGGGACGGGCAGGGCTTCTCTACAGCCCCTCACTCTGGAGAGGTGGCGTGGGCTCCTGGCCTGCTTAGAAGAACAGGTGCTGGGATGAGAATTTGGACTGGGCTGCCAGCCATGGTCAGGGTGAGCCCAGATGCCCTAGGGTAAGGGTGTGAGAAGGAGGCAAGACCTAGGCTGAGTTTAAATCTTCTTTATTGGGAGGGTGGGGTCACCACCCTCACTGCACAGCCTGCTCATTGGTGCTTCTTCCTAAATCCTGCAGCTTCGTCACATCCAGCAGCTCTGGCTGTCTGGAGAAGGGCTCAATTTAGGGGGCCTCAAACATGTCATCTGCCCAGAAGGCAGCCACACTGGCTGAGGCCTGGGACCTGGATATCTGACTGGTGAAGCCACACTTGCCCAGTGTCTTGGCGTCCTCTGGAGCTGGCTGTCCTTGTACAGACAGTTCACATTGGCGTGGCCGCTTGAGGATGCCCATTATGACGCAGTTCACCTCCCACATGGTGCTCGACTCCTTGGCATCAGTGAAGATAGTGGTCTTGTGGTGCCAAATCATCTGAAACACATCCATCATGGCGGCTTCCTCTACCCCTCCATGTGCTGGGGGGGGGGCACCAATAAATACTTATTTATCTAACAGTTTGACTCAAATATAAGGTGCAGATTCAATGAGCATAAAGGATTGTTTGAACCCAGAAGTTGTGAGACTCTAAATTCCTTCTGGGGAGTTCTAGTGGCCTAGTGGGTAGGGATTTATGCTCCTAACTAAAAGGTAGCACTTCTCTGATGGTTCACATCTACCAAGTAGCTCCTCAGGAAAGATGGGTAATCACCTCCTGTGCAATTTACAGCCTTGAAAACCAGCTATGAGACAGTTCCACTCAACAGCAATGAGCTGAGTTGAAAATTGAGATTCCTTCCTAGGAGATCTCCGTAGCCCAGAAAATATATGGCCTTTTCAAGCTTAGCCTCATTTGCTCACAGGTTTCCTGGGTTTATTGTAACAGTGCACTAGAGTCTCAGAGCAGAAAGCTGTCACTTCCTCTAGCAACAATCTGGCTGCAAAAGAACTCCATAGGATGAAGATTCCAGAAGAGGGAAGGTTGACAGATCAGTGGTGGAAAGTGGTGTATCTACTGTTTGATCTAGAAAGAAGCAGGGCCTCTTGCTTGGACTGTGGAACCCAGTTCTTCCTGCTTGCCACCTGATCTTGTTGCTGACGGTGCCCTGGCAAGAGGAAGAGCCATGTTCCTCTGATCTGTTGGCTTGGGCTCGCATTTGTCAGTGAAATGTTTCAGTATTTCCTTGTTGAAATTAGAGACAACATTCCAGAGGCATGGACTTTTAAGTGGCTCAACCTCTAAGTCTTAATTAAGTCCAAACAAATATCTTTTTTGTTTTTTTAATTATTATTTTTTGTGCATGTACCGTCAAATCAGATTTGACTGGTACTGGAGGAGATTGTCCCTCCTTCTCCAGCAGAGCGCCTGATGGATTCGAACCACTCACACAAATATCTTCATTTTACGGAACATGAATTGCCAGTGAGATGATGGGCCCAAGGTCACCCAGCCAAGAGGCAGAGCAAGACTGCACATCAGATCTGTTGGGAATAAACCAACAAAACACTGACTTTGAATAATTCTGACTCACAGCGACCCCATATGTGTCAATGCAGAACTGTGCTGCACAGAATTGTTAATGGGAAAAAAAATTTTTTTAAAGTAAATATCCAAGCCTTTTTGTTTGTTTTGATTTTTCCAAGTCTTTTTTGTGAGCTGCCTCTGGGTATGCTTGAACCAACCGACTTTTGGTTAACAGCTGAGCAAGTTAACTGTCAGTGCCGCCACCCCTTTATGTGTACCTTCTAGCCCCAATTGAGAGACTCTTTACAGGGCAGCTGTGGTAGCCCGGGGCATCTGGATGCTTGCTCTGTTGTGGATGCTTAGCCTTTGCTCCAGTGACTCAGCACTAGTTCCCCTACGTAGTCCCAGGCACCCCTGCCCGCTGGACACTCCACCCTCCCTGTGGCCAGACTGATGGGCCTTATCTGTATACCCAGCTGGTCATGCATAGCACTCCCACTGCATCGGCCTACCTCAGTTTTGGGTCTCAGTTTTCTGGTTACTACAGCAGCATTAGCGGGCCTTGTCAATTCCCTCTGGTCTCTCATCTCTGGTTTCCTGAATAGGGCAGAAGGTATGGAGGAGGATGAAGGGACCAGTCTTGGAATATTCCTCTGCTTAGAGGCTTGGCTGGCCACAGGCCAGGGCCTGAGGTTCCATTCTTTCAAGCCATTGATTCTGGTTCTTGAACAAAGTGCTGAGAAACATAAGTACACTGACCTGGGGACTCTTTTGCAGGAGAAGGACGACGGCCCAAAGATGAGAGTGATTCGTGTGGGTACACGCAAGAGCCAGGTGAGTGCAAGTGTGAAGAAGGGACATGTATTACAAGAATTCTGGTGCCTATGTTTGGGGTCATAAGTTGGGGGGCCAGTGTGTAGAGGGTTAATTCCAGGATGAAAGAAATGGGAATGATTGGAAAAGATACACTGCGTCCAGTCTCATGTGGAATGGCAGCGTGTTCTGAGGAGGGTGGTCCTGGGCAGGAGAAATTGGATTACAGAGGACTCTGAGATCAGATCCCCTCCCCTTCCTAGGTAGGCACCCAAACCCTGTCTGGAGTCAAATCCCTTCAGAATCTTCCTGGCACTATGAGAGTCAGGGGGAGGGGAGGGGAGGGGAGGACTAATCTGAATTTCTGCCCCCAGCTGGCTCGAATACAGACAGACACTGTGGTGACAGCGCTGAAAACCTTATACCCTACCCTGCAGTTTGAAATCAGTGAGTGCTCCGGGAAGGAATGGAAGTTAATGGGAAGCCCAGCACCTGGAGGGGAGAACGCAGCATTTCTGGCTTTGCCTATGATAAAAGTGTTTGCAAATCCTTTTTAGCTGCTCCCAATTCAGAGGATCCTTTCCTCTGAACACCTTCACCTCTAACCACCTGAGCCAGCTTGGCAATTAATGTTTTCTGCTTTGGGTCTTTTTACAAACGCATCTGTTCCTCCCTGCTAGATCACAGTTCCTGAGGTCAGGGACTGGGACTTCTGGGCTTCTGTACCCACCATGAATCTTAGCGCTGTGCTGGGCACGGAGGGGCTCCATAGATGCTGACTAATGAGTCACTAATTGATCAACTCTTTCCTCAGTTGCCATGTCCACCACTGGGGACAAGATTCTAGATACTGCACTTTCAAAGGTAACATCTTCTCCTAGTCCTTGTCTTCCCATCTGTCTTTGCTTTCTCCACTCTGAGACTCATTCTTGCCCCGCAGATTGGAGAGAAAAGCCTATTTACCAAGGAGCTGGAACATGCACTAGAGAGGAATGAGTAAGTGAGAGACAGAGCCTGGCACTCTCCCAGAGTCTTGCTGGAAACCTGTGCTCTACAGACCTGGATATTAGCTAGACTGCTGGGTATGAGCCCTCTGATATGCTGGAGAGGCCTGATAGGTGGGTTTTTCGGGCTTCAGCAAAGGAGCCATCTGGCTGGCTGAAGTGCAAGGCTGGGGTGGGGCTGGAAGAGTTGGAAGGCAGGTCTTGGGAAGGCCTGCTTCCTGAACTACCTTCAGCTTCTATATTGAAGCAGAGGTAAGGAAAGAAAAGATGGGACTTTCTGCTCAAATCCCTTCTTTTTGTCTTCTGTCTCTCTAGAGTGGACCTGGTTGTGCACTCTCTGAAGGACTTACCCACTGTACTTCCTCCTGGCTTCACCATTGGAGCCATCTGCAAGTAAGAATCCTGCAAATCATGTGTGGGCCTGTGTGTCTGTATAGTAGGGAGCCTGGGCATGTTAACCTCCCCTTTTCCCTTTGAGACTTGGGCTTCCACCAACTGCTGTTCTTTTCTGCCCTAGGGGTGTTGAACATGGCAGAAAACTCAGAAAATCATAGTTAAGTGACTGTTAGTTGTCATCAAGTGGATTCTAACTCATAGCAACTCCATGTTTCAGAGAACACAGGTTTTCAAGGCTGTATGGTTTTCAGGATTGCCAGACCTATCTCCTGAGGTCCTCTGGCTAAATTAAAACCACCAAACTTTTAGCTAGTGATGCTTACATGACTGTGCCACTGAGAGATCCCAGCTGCAGAGAAAGAACTGAGGTCAATCTTGAACTGAAAAACTCTCCCTCACTCTGTGACCGTCATTCCACCCCTAGACGAGAGAGCCCCTATGATGCTGTTGTCTTTCACCCAAAATTTGTTGGGAAGACCCTAGAAACCTTGCCAGAGAGGAGGTGAGTGGGGAAGAAATACCTTGGTTTGCACACAGAGGCGGGACAGGAAGAGAAAAGGAGGATTGCCTGCCTGTTGTTGACTTCCATCTTAAACTCTCTCTGAGCAGCGTGGTGGGAACCAGCTCCCTGCGGAGAGCAGCCCAGCTGCACAGAAAGTTCCCACATCTGGAGTTCAGGAGTATTGTATCCTTTTAAAGAGGGAGGGGCAGCAGCCAAGGAGGAAGTTATGATCTGGAAGACCCTTCCTGGGACTCCTGAGCATGAAAGGGGCTGCCAGAGCAAGGGAAGCGTGGAGAGGGCTGGCTGTTTCTCTATTCACCAATCCAGACGTTCACAATTTTTTACTGCTTTCTTCACCGTAGTCAAGTGCCTGGCACTTGATGATGGCAGCAACATAACCTGCCCATGCTTACACAGAGTTTATATTTTATTAGGGAAATAGGCATTCATGTTACCAAGTGATAGGGAGGGCTTCCATTTTTATTTACATGCTATTTATTTTTATTTTTACAGTGAATATGCAATATATTTTCTAAAAACTATAAAAAGATACTCTGTACTAAGTGTCCCAATGGTAGAGGTAGGGAATGCTCTGAAAGTCTCTAGTGGGAACATTTAAGGCCTGAGGGTCAGAAAAGGCTTCTCAGATCTTGTAATCTTAGACATGTTACTTTACCTCTTTATATCTCATTGTCCTCATCTGTAAAATGGGACCTACCTTAAAGGTTGTGAAATAAGGTGAGTTGACACACTACACTTTATTCAACTAGTGTGAGTATTATACAGTTTTTGCAAGCTACCACGCCCCCTTGCACATTATGGGAACTGCATGCGTCATATGCGTGGGCCTGTCATATACGAAAATACTGTATGTAAAGTACTTTGGAACAGTATCTGACATGTGGTAGGTGTGATGTGTTAGCTGTTATTGTTAAACTAAAAACTGAAAGAAGTTAGCCACGTAAGAGGGGAAAACTGAGGCAAAGGGAGTAGTAAGGCGTCACTCAGTACTGTTGGTCCTTAGCATCTCCTCCACAGCGAGGAAACCTCAACACGCGGCTTCGCAAGCTGGATGAGCAGCAGGAGTTCAGTGCTATCATCTTGGCTGCAGCTGGCCTGCATCGCATGGGTTGGCAGAACCGGGTGGGACAGGTAGGCTGCCCTCACCCTTCCCCAGCTTTTTTTCTGCCCTATTTTCTTGTGTACACTGTTGTGATATGTATGTGCCACCAAGTTGGAACCAACTCATAGCTGATTTTGAGAAGCAGTAATTGCAGGGGAGATAGCCCATCCTTTTCCTACAGAGCAGCTGATGAATTCAAACCACGTGGCTTTGGGATCGCAGCACAGATTCTTACCACTAGACTATTAGAGCTTCTACTTTCCTCTAATTATTCAAGATAGAAGTTTGGAAATTAGAGGCCAGACTCCCACACTTACCTATCCAGTGATAGGGAAACCCTAGCACACTGTACCTCATCTTTGTATTGATGACCTTTTCTACCTCTACAGATCCTGTGTCCTGAGGACTGCATGTATGCAGTGGGTCAGGTATGCTTGACCAGGGAAGCTAGAATACCAAAGCACCCACCCTTCCATTTGCTCTCAGCCAATAAACTGGATTCACAGCCTTCTGCATCTCCTTCCCCCAGGATAAACATTCCCAAGTTGTGGTTGGCCCAAAGGCCCCTGGAGAGCAGAGGGAAATGGGTAGTTTCTATCCTTAGCACCAGTGGTTGAGAACAGATAGTCTGATATCATAGGCTGTTTTTCACCAGGGGGCCCTGGGGGTCGAAGTTCGAGCCAAAGACCAGGACATCCTGGACCTAGTGGGTGTATTGCATGATCCTGAGACTTTGCTCCGCTGCATCGCTGAACGGGCCTTCCTGAGGCACCTGGTAGGGTCTGTGCTCCACCTGTGAAGATGGGCACTGAGGGAGTAGGCACAGTAGTGGGGAGAGTTTGTGTGTGTGGTAACTCATTTCTGTTGAAGGTTATGTATGGAGAGGACTTGGGTCTGGCCCCCTCAGAGTTGTGTCTGAGATGTGTCACAGGGTGGGAAGGACCCTGGAGGTCACAGGGAGAGCATCTCATTGCAGGAAGGAGGTTGCAGTGTTCCAGTAGCAGTGCATACAGCTGTGAAGGATGGACAGGTACACGAAGAATGGGGCAGGAGGGCAGGAAAGGACTGTGGCACTTCTACTTGTGCTTTCTCAGCTGTCAGCCCAAACAGCATGGGTTTGGCAGTAGCCCCTCCCAGAATGTACTGAGGCAGCCATTTTCTTTTCCAGCTGTACCTGACTGGGGGAGTATGGAGTCTGGATGGCTCAGATAGCATGCAAGAGACCATGCAGGCCACTGTCCATGTCACTGCCCAGGTACCAAGCCTGGTGGGCAGAGAAGGGGAATAGCAAACACTGCATATGGTCTTTCATTCTTACCAAATTTCACTCCTTCTCTTACTCAGCATGAGGATGGCCCTGAAGATGACCCACAGCTGGTAGGCATAACTGCCCGGAATGTTCCACGAAGAGCCCAGCTGGCTGCTGAGAACCTGGGCATTAGTCTGGCTAACTTGTTGTTGAACAAAGGAGCCAAGCACATCCTGGATGTTGCACGGCAGCTTAATGATGCCCACTAACAAGTCTTTTGCACACAAGTGCCTGTGTTTGAGCCCACTGTCCCATCCTCATTGTGAACTGGGACGTGATTACCCAAGCAGATTAAACTGCTGAGATTTCCAGGGACCTTCATGTCAAGACCTTGGTGACTTTGCCTGAGCCACCTGGGTAGGTTGGTGGCTTCATCTCTTCAGAGCAAGTCTAAGCCACGGCCTTTGAATGTAACCAATTCTATTAATAAATCAGTTCCCAAAGTTTTATTTGTTTTGGTGGATTTGGGAGGGATATTGGTCAAAATATAAATGGACTGACAAAACCTTTACTCTGAGGGTCCAGCTTTCCTGGAACATCTGTTTCAATAGTTATGTACTGTTGAGTTGGTGCTGACCCACAGCTGACCCTCCAGCGGCTTTTCAGAGGCACTAAATTACAGATTACTCATCTTTCTCCCCCAGAGCTACTGGCAGACTTGAACTGGGTACCTTTTATATTGGCATGCGCGATTCCCTATCACCAAGCCACCAGAGTGACCTTCAATAGTACTCATTTCAAATCCTGAAATTAACCGAAGAGGGACATTACTGCCATAAACACTCCAGATTATGTTCATCGATCTTAAAACTTCAAAATGAAAACAGACTCTCATTTTTTTAAAAAAGTCATTTAATAAAATTAGTCCATCTGAAATTCCCCCCAATACCTAAATTACTAGTCTTGAATTCTCTGCAAAATTCCAGTTCAAACGGGGATTAACTGACTTGCTGGTATCTACTAGGTGCTTGAGTGGCTGGGATGAGTCAGGATGGAGTGGGCAGGTGTGGCTGCCAGTCCTTTTCAGGCACAAACACAACTTGTGCTGGCCACGCCACCAGCTGGGAACCCGAGCGGGGTGCAGTCTTCTCTGGAAAGGTAAGTCTAAGCCAGGCCTGTGAATAACGATGGAGATGCTGTGAAAGCCTTTAGCGTGGCAGCAAAAGGTGCACCAGGAAACATCGATTTCTCGTCCATCGAAGCCTGGAAGTCAAGTGTCACAACTGAACAGTCCCGGGCTGAGCACCAAGCTGGAAAAGTAACACGACCGGACTGCAATCACGGGGGCGAGGCTGGCGGCTCGGCGCCGACTCACCTTCAGACCACGCACCCCACGCAAGTTGGAGGCCGGCCCACCCCAGGCCACGTCCTCCAGGGGCTGGCACTCCGTCCGCAGCCACGCCGAGACAGGGCCACGCGCCGGTACCAACCGGCTTCCCCCCAAGGGCAGCCTGGCCGCCCGTCCTCACTGCAGATGGCGACGCGGGCCTACCGCCTCGTGGCTCCAGCGGCGGGAAGCGGCCGCGCGGGGGCATGGAGGACGGCCTGGAAGGCGGGGGAGGGGGCGCGAAGCGGCCTGGGTGGCTGCGGGAGACAAGGTAACATTAGAAAGCGGAGGGCAGGGCCACACACGGTTCAGCTCTTTTCGTAAAGGGCTGTGGTGGCCCTTAAAAGGGCCTTTGTGGTGGCCCCGGGAGGGCCGGAAGGTCCCGCGGCAGCGCGGGTGCCCCTCAGTATTCCTGAGAGGCCTGTGTGCTTTTCTTGCCGCCCGCGGGCGTCTTAGGCCCCACGGTGGCGCTCGTCTTCTTGGGCAGGAGCACGGCCTGGATGTTGGGCAGGACGCCTCCCTGCGCGATCGTCACGCCGCCCAGCAGCTTGTTGAGCTCTTCGTCGTTGCGGATGGCGAGCTGCAGGTGGCGGGGGATGATCCGCGTCTTTTTGTTGTCGCGGGCCGCATTGCCCGCCAGCTCCAGGATCTCTGCAGTCAGGTATTCGAGTACCGCCGCCAGGTACACTGGTGCGCCGGCGCCGACCCGCTCCGCGTAATGGCCCTTCCGCAGCAGACGGTGTACGCGACCCACTGGAAACTGAAGGCCAGCACGCGACGAACGTGACTTAGCCTTGGCGCGGGCCTTGCCACCAGTCTTGCCGCGCCCCGACATGCTGCGCGAGGTAGAGGGTTCTTGAGAATAACGGTAGAGGCAGGAAAAAGAGCTCCAAGCCGCAGTCAACTGCTACCGCGCGCGTTGAGGGTCCGCCTTTATAGCCTTCTCAGGGCACGTTCCTGCGCCCTTCTCATTGGCTTGTTCTCTAATACCCGTCTCTGATTGGCTACTGTTAACGCTCCTGTGAGATGCCTCGACGGCGGAAGAACGCCAGATGATTGGTCACATTTGAAAACCCCGGGTTAAAAAGCGAAGAGCGGCGCTCTCAGTACTCCACCACATAGAGATGTAACCAATGCATGTTAAGCGCGCGAGATTTAAACGGTAGGGCCGGAGCGCAAAACCGGAACAGAGGGGGTGGAGCTTAGAGCCACCTAAAGAGACTCTGGGAAATCTGGGTTGTCAACACTATCCCTGTTTCCCCTTCCCAGGCCTATGCACTCTTTTACTGTGCGGTAAAGAGAAAGTGAAAAAGGGAAGAAATGAGACTTGAAGGCTCCACCCCATGCTAGAAAACAGCTTTCAGTGGCGCCGTAAGTACACAGGGTCACAACAAGTTGTTTGTTGGCGGTTCTCACTTGCTGCTAGAAAGAGCCTGATGAAAGAAAATGGAGAAGTCAAAGAGGAATTGCTGCTGTAGCTGACCCTCCAGCAGGTTTTCAGAGGCCGTAAAGCGCCCAGAGGAGACTGCCCATCTTTCCCCCACTGAGCACCTGGCGCACTTAAATCACTTGCCTTTGGGTTGGCAGCACAACTTATTACCACTAAGCCACCAGAGCTCCGTAAGTGAAACAGACATTCTATTAAGGTGATGCTCCCGCCAATATGCCCATGTAGAAATGGAACAACAAAAAGATCGCTTTATTGTCACCATTATGAGCACCTGGCTCACCCCAGCTGGCACTTACTACTAATCAGACCACTTAATTTTATAACCCTATGTCAAGTCACAGCCTCTGAGGTTGTGTCCGTCTTCAGTGCAGTCAATCCCAAGGCCTCGGAATATTTCTTGGGAATTCAGGATTCTTTGAGTTTTGGATAATTGCATAAAAGATGCCATATCCCACCTCAAGAGACTGCAAAGATGCAGAGTGGCAAGCTGAAGAAAGCCATAGGCAAACCTCAATCAATAGTCATTAGAGACCCGAATGGTCCAGGAATACGCTGAGAACAAATATGGCAGAGAATGAAGGATGGAAGAGGCCTGGGCTGGAAGGCAGCCTTGGTTGGTCCAGATACAGCTCATCTTGAGTCAGGAACCCTGGAAACTGCAGTTAGAGGACAGTGATCTGGGGGCTTAGACATCATAGAAGAGTCGGACAAGCTGGTATCGAATGGAGAAGGTGACAGCACTGCCCAGGATCTGCAAGGACAAATGAAATAGAATGAGAACCAGCAAGATCATTAGATAAGAAAGTGTAGATCCCATTCCTAACCTCACCTGCAGCAGCAGCAGGAGCAACGTGAGATTCCTCTCACGCATGGGTCCAAAGACTTTCAGCAGCAAGTTGATGAGGGTCATGTTGTTACATTCAGTGAAGGGACCATCCTCACTCTCAGTCTGATGTACTGTCACTAGCTGGAGGCTCTCTGCTACCTGGAGGGACCAGAGATGAAGGGAAGCTCAGCAAGAATACTTCAGGAATAAAGATGTGCCTAATACTTCCAAGTCCCCCTTGGATATGCTGACACTTAGGGTCCCCACTTCTAGATGATCTCAAGATGGCTGTCAAGGGCCTTACCTCCTTGTTACCCTGTTACCTTTAGAATAAAGGTGCCCAAGAAAGAGAGGCTCTTGGTCTTGAACTTAGAATAGCTCATCTCCAGTTTGCCTGTCTTGGTATTGAATCTGCAGAGGAAAGAAAATTGTATGTGAAGGGGCATTTACTCAAAGAACTCTCCTCCCTGTGGTTAATTAATCGAAAGAGCCCTGAGATTAGGGAGTCAAAGAATATGAGATCTAATTCTGGCTCTGCTTTGTACTACTGTGTGATCAGAACTGATGTGAGCATTATATGAGATTACTGTTACGTACCATCAGGTCACCTTTGACTCATAGAACCCTATCTACAACAGCTCTGAATCCTGCCCTATCCTGAGCCAGTCTCACTAACTCCATCATGCATAACCCCATTTCTCCAGTTATTGTATCAGTCCATCTTATCCGGGGTCTTCCTCTTCTGTGCTGTCCCTCCAGACCCTTCCAAACATGATGTTCTTCTCCAAGGACTGGTGGTCCCTCCTGACCATGTGCCCAAAGTATGTGATAGAGCTTCAAAATCTTAGCCTCCAAGGAGAAACTTGGTTTTACCATCTCCAAGACAGACCTATTTGTTTTCTTAGTGGTCCTTGTTATGTTCATGACTCTTTATGTATGTAAATGTGTTGTAAATGATCGAGTTACCCATATGGAAAGTTAACCCTTCTTTGAGTCACTCTCTTTGTATATAAGGCTGGTTTTAGACATCCGAAATAAAAAGGCTATACTGTCTCTTCCAAGCTTCAATATCCGCCCTCTCCTACCTTGGTATCCAAAGTGGCTACCTGGGTATACGGTGGCGAGGGCAGGGGATGATATGAAAGAGCTGAGGCAGTGAGTAGAGGAAGTTGAACACCTGGGGCATGAAGAAGAGTAGCATGGTCTTGCTGAAGTGTCCTAAGATGCCCACCACGGCAAAGGTCATGCCAGCAAAGTAACAAAAAGTATCACCCACAAACACCCGTGATGGGTACCTGTAGGGAGGAAAGGATCTAAGTCAGTCGCAAGAGGCATTACCAACCCTTTTTCTCATACCTTATATCCTGGGCACTAGGTTACCCAGTTCTGACTTAAAGGAGATTCCAGGTAAGATTCTGATGCTCCCAGTAGATCTGCCAGGCCCAAAGCCCTAAGTTAAGCTATTTCTGGGCTCCACATCATTTGCCCCCAACTATTGCTGGATTAAGTTACTTAGAATACTACCAGCTGAGAACCCAGAAAATATCAACACAAGTATGTGCATGTCCAGACTAATCTGGAGGTTGGTCATGAATAGTTCCATAATTGTCATCTTTTTAGATAGCTGTTCCCTTAATCCACAGCCTAGTACTTACCAATTATAGTAGAACAGTCCCAGGGTGGTGAAAAAAAATGGTATCATGAAGTAGAGAGAAAAGATATGATCATCTCGATATTCACCTTTACAGGTTGGGGAAAGGAAAAAAGGGACAGTTAAGTAGCCACTTCTGTAAACGCTGGTCTTATTTTTGTCTTCCTCTAAATTCTGTCCCAAACTATTCCTCTGAGATTACTTTCAAGAACTCACTACCCTCTGTCACCCTGGCAATTCTTGATAGGCCCCACTTTTAGTTTAAGGTATTCAAACATGGATTTGAATACCAACCTTTTAGTTCCTAGCTATTTGACCTTCGATCAGAACACATTTAACTTTCCTAAGTCTGTTTTCTGATCTGTTAAACAGGGTGATGAGAACACTTGCCACATACAGCTATTAAAATGTTTGTTGTTATTGTGTACCACTGAGTCAGAACTGACCTTCCAGCGGGTTTTCAAAGGCAGTATAATTGTCTATCCTTCTCCCACTGAGTAGTTTGTGGATTCAAAATGTGCCTTCCAGATTGCAGCAGTTTCTTGCCAGAGTTCTCTTACAACTCTCGTTGTTATGTGCCCTCGAGTCACTTGCAACTCATAGTGACCCTATGTACAACAGCCCTAAGCCCTGCTCTATCCTGTGCCAATCTTACTGTCTCTGACACACCTACTCCCATTACCCCAGTCACGGAATTAATCCATCTCACTGAGGGTCTTCCTCTCTTGCACTGTCTGTCCATTCTCCTAAGCATGATGCCGTTCTCCAAGGACTGATCACGCCTTGCAACATGCCCAAAATATGTCAGACAAAGCTTCAGAATCCTTGCCTCCAAGGAGCAGCCTGGTTTCACAGCTCCCATTACAAGGTTTAAATTAGATAATGTCTGAAAAGTGCTTAGTACTAATCAGCACTTTGCTGATGTCCATCAATCATACACCAAGAGAAACAATTGCCAATAAAAGTTTGGTTTATTAACTTGTAACAAGGGATACTGCAGAAACCATACAACATGGGAAACCTTGATAAAAGGATGATGGTGTTATTCTGTGCCACTGAGTTGGAACTAACTTATAGCTGACCCTCTACCGGGTTTTCAGAAGCAGTAAACTGCACGGGAGGAGACTTCCCATCTTTCTCTTGGTGGGAACCATGTGCTTTAGGATTAATAGCATAGGTCCTTACCACTAGGCTATAAGAACTCCCTAAGAGGGTAGTTAGTGGTAAGTTGATTATGTGTCATCTGACTGAGTATGACTCTTAGCAATCCTATGAACAACAGATCTGAACCCTGTACTATCCTGTGCCATCACCATCATCTCTGACACACTTGAGCCCACTGCTGCAGTTAATGTGTCAATCCATCTTGTTCAAGGTCATTAGGGTGTATTATAGGACTTGTTTAACAATATTATATTATTTTTTTAATAAATTAGGCTCCTGTTTAATAATTACTACACAAATTCTTCAGTAATGTACACTAGTACTTTTTCAAAATGTTTCACATTCTCATTATTCCACTCTGGATATTTAGTTTCTAGTAACCTGGTTTCCCGGTTACCTTATCCCTTCAGCTTTGCTTCAATTTTTTTTACAATGTGGTCTCGTAGAGATCATTTATTAAAGGTGCACAGTACTTAATTAGCATTAGTCTTTACTTATGAGTCGATCTATTATTTGGCTAACAGATGACCACTGGGGTGAGTTCATAGTTTATAGAGTACCAAAGGTCATTCCAACCAGTCCAGTAAGTTCATGACTTTTTTAAAGAATTTGAGTTCTTTCCACACTTCTCTCCATTTTATTAGGATCTGTCTACTGAGGATCTGACCAGTATGGTTAGTAGCGGTAGCCAGGCACCAGCTAGTTCCTTCAGTCTTAAGAGAGATGAGGCTGTGGTTTATGTCAATTGTTAGTCCTGTGGCCTGGTTTCTTCTCTGAGTATAGTTCTGAGTAACTATGAAGAGGATACTAAAAAGTAGTTTTGCTCTGGACAGGGTGATGTCAGAAGGCAGGTGTAGTTCTGGGACTGAATACTTCACTTTTAAGGGGTAGGAGAGATCAGTTACTGGAGGGACACAACGGTCACTTCTGTTAGGTAGGATGCTTGATCACTTTTGTAGTTTTGCCCAGTTTCTTTTGTTGGAACTCAGATATGATTTTGGAGGGACCTGGTTTTTTGTTTGCTCCATACGTAATTATCACAGAGTGATGCTGGGGTTCTATGAAATTACATACGTTCAATAGGAGAGTATTATGGCCTAGCTAGCTATTAATGCCAATTTAGCTACAGATGACCAAGCTGCTCTTTTTCTTCTATCTATAAGCTCTAACAGCATAAAGAAATGATGTTAAGTATAGAACTGAGTTCAGGTCTTTTGTTCAAAGGGTCACTATGAGTCATATTTGACCTGACGACACTAAACCACTGCTAAGTGAGACTAATGTTGCTATATTTTGGAGGAACATTCTTCTACTTGGTACATCTTTCTTTGTCAATTTGCTGTACTGATGTAATCTAGGTTTGCTGTGATGCTGAACCTTGTGCTATTGGGATATGAAATGCCATAATGGTTTCCCTATGGGGACAGTGTTTGGTTGAGCTCCCAGTAGTACAACAGGTTTGGAAACAGGAGTGGCATCCACTTCCTTAACCACATGCCTATGGAAACGCTATGAACTTGAAGAAATGATGATAGCTACAGAAAGACATTAGGTCTTTTGTTCATGGAGTCACTATGAGTTGTGCTTGACTCGATGGCAATCAACAACAACAACTATTCTTTTTCTCAAAGTAAATAGTTTCTCTTCTAAAGTGGTTCACATATTGCTTCCTTCTGAAACCCCACAGGCATTTAACCCCCAGATTTCTCTCTCCTCCTATTCCTAGTTGTACTTACCATCCAACTCTACCAAGTTGAAGACAATGATAGACGCAGAAATGACTAACGACTGGCCAGCTTCTAACCCATTAATTCCTGCCAGGATATTGATGGCATTGGTACAGAACACTGCCAGCAACCCCATATATACATAGTACAGGATTCCTGGGGAAGAAAACACAATACAGAAAAGAGGACTTAAGAGGTATTTTCTCTGAGAGGAAAAAAAAATGGTGAGGGTAGAAAACATGATGAAAGATAATGAGAGGGGATCTGAGAAGACACAGAGAACAGAGGAACCTGAAGAATAAAAGCCACAGGATCGTAGCAGCAGAGCTACTCACCCAAGTCCAAGTGCAAGCCAAGAATTGGGCGGAAGGGCTTGGGAACCACAATGGTCGTGTTGCCAAAATTGGTGAAATAGACCATGAGGAGTGGTAGTGAGGCAGCTGTAGGCAGCAGCAGCTTATGGCGCCAGCGAAGATTCAGTACATCATCCGCAAAGCCCAGGAAGATCATGCAGCAGATGGCAAGGAGGGCACCTATCAGGGCCACAAACTGGGGGAGGCTCGGGCAGGTCCCAAATCAATCCTACTCCCACTCCACCTCCCCTTCCCAGAATTTCCGTCTGAAAAGGGGTTCCTCTGACCCTCCCCGAAAGCCCAAACAATACAACTTTCTCAGCTACCTCCCAACCCCCAATCATAGGCGACCACCCCCATTAACACACTTACTTCGTGGTGGGGGAAGGTCTTACACCTCTCCTCCACAAAGCAGTCCAGGAAAGGGAAAGGGATGAAGCAGAAGAGGATGATAAGGAACACAGCCCCGCTGATCACTCCCTGAGATTCTGGGCTGTGGCCCAGCAAAGGGGGAACGCGAGGTGGAGAGGAAAGGGGGGCGTGGTCACTAACTGGCGTGGAGTTACACTAATCCAAATTGCCTTCCAGCCACTTTTAGGGGAGAGGGCGCTACGCTGAAACCCCTGATGCACTCATGTCCTCCACCCCCTTCTTCCCTAATGCGAATCCGCTGTCCTTCACCTCCCAGAGTTCTGGACAGACGCTAGGTCCCCACCTGTGCACGGTCCAACCCTTCCTCCCAGCCTGTCCCCCGCCCTGGACCCGTGTACCGGTCCTCACATCTCCTGCCGGCTGGATTTGCAGAGGTCCAAGCCACAGAGGCGGGCGGCGATGAAGTGGCCCCGGAAGGCTGGAATGAGGGTGAGCGTGGCCATGAAGCCCAGCAGCGAGCCGATTAAGTTCACCAGCAGCGGCAGTGGCAACTCCGAGAAGGCCCACATGGTGACCCGCCAAGGGACCCTGCCGCCGCCGTCGCCTCGGTTAATAAGCAAACGAGGCGGTAGACTTGAGGCCTCAGCAGTGAGGAAGGGCCGCTTCCCACAGGCGGGGTCTTTCCACACCAGCCTGAGCAAAACCTTACAACACTGACTTGAGCCGCCCGCGGAACACCCGCAAGGCTCTATAAAGTAACCTCCGTTCTTCTTTGCTTTATCTACCCACTGTTTCCGCCCGGATCTTCTCGGCTGAACCACTATTGCTTGGGAAGGCGATGGCAGACATTTTTAAAATGGGCATACGAGTGGGGCCAGTTCTTTTAAACTGCATCTTTCAAGAGTTGAATCAGCACCAAAGTATTCGGAAAGACATTTTTAAGACATAAACACAAGCAAATATTTCTTAACATCATATCAAATGTGTTCAGGCTGGAGCGGAAAAACTGCTTGCCCACTTCCAAGATGGACGCCTCCATGTACCACGTGTCAGCACCATTTCCAGCGGGGTCTACGTCAGTCGTAGCTCCCGAAGGCTTTCACAGATCACCTTTAAAGGGCCACTACCCCTCACTTAATCTTGGGGTTACTCTGGAGGCAGGAAGTTAAGTACTGGAAGTAAGGGGCGGGGCTGAAAGGAGACGAAGCAGGAAAATCTCCTGCTCCTTGTAGAAAACCTGTTGCCCAAGCAATCAGAAGCCAAAGTAAAGGTAACACTGTTCCTGGAAAGGCAGACTGCAATTCAGAAAAGCTGTTGCTCTAGTCGATTCCAACTCACAGCAATCATATTAGGATTTCCAAGGCTTTTGGAAGCAAGCCGTTTATCTCGCAGGGCTGCTGACAGGTTCCAGCTGCTGGCCATTTGATTCACTAACAGCCGCTTAACCACAACACCACCCGGGCACAGACATTTCAAATTCCCTCCTGCCCCATATGCTTGCACTTGAACCAAGTACTTTTTCCTCACCATCTCACCCACCATCTGCCCCCGTAGTAAAGTTGCAAGCAACCAAGCGGGTCACTTCATCACTGAAGAGACTGGAAGTGTCCTGAAGTGTTGCTTTTACGCTGGTACTTGACGTTCAGGTTCTTGGATCCCTGTATTGGGCAAGCGCCTACATAATTAAGTCTGAGGCTTCTAAGGAGTCAGGAGGAGCAGGCCCATATGGGGATTCTTGTGAGTATTCTTCCTCCAGGTACTGCGTCATTTGCTTTACATCTGTTTCCTTACACCAGCATCTTCATTTCCTTTCCTTCTGCTACAGGCTCCTAGGTGACAGGTGTTTTCCTCTGAGAGAAAAAAATCACTCCCAGAGGTTTGTGAAGATTCATATATTTTGACATCTTGTCCATTCTTTCAAAAAGTAACATTTCTTTTCTTTAGGCAAAAGATAATGCTCCCTTTCCCTCCAAGCCAGGTATAAAATGTCCCTTACACATCACAGCCACTCGAATTTAAGGTATGTGGATGGGCAATCTCCAGTGCAATTAACTGCCTCTAAAAAAGACTGCCAGAAGATCAACTATGGGTGGATTCCGACTCAATGATATGCAACATCAAACAACAAAATGTATAAATAATATTTACTAATAATGTATTCTGAAAGATATATATAACACATTTATCTTATACATAAAATTATAATGAGAATTTGTATTATAAAGGACCCTGCTGGAACAATGGTTAAGAACTGGACTCATAACCCAAAAGCTGACTGTTCAAACCCACCCAGTGGCTCTACACGATGTGGTTGTCATCCTCCATTAAGATTAAAAACAAAAGTGAGCTCTAGTGGCCGAGTGGCAAGAAGCTGCACTGCAATAATGAAGGTATGCCGTTTGAATCCAGCAGATCCTCTGCTGGAGAAGAAGGGGCAATCTCCTCCTGTGCCAGTTGGATCCTATTTTTATCATGTTAGACTAGGAAAAGAAAAAATTAAAAACAAGAAAACCCTGTAGGACAGTTTCTTCACATGGGGTTGCCATGAGTCTGAACAACTGGACAGCACCTGACACGAACAACAGTTTATGTACATTGAGTTCCTGAGTGGCTTAGTTAAAATGCTTGGTTACTAGGCAAAGGTTGGCAGTTTGAGTCCACCCAGAGATGCCTCAGAAGAAAGATCTGGTGAGCTACTTCCATAAAATCCGCAATTTTAACTAATGGAGGGCACATTTCTCTGCGGACATACATGAGATCTTGTGCTACATCTGGGATTGCTATGAGTCGGATTCAACTATACGACTTGATGACAGCTGTCTTTATAAACGCATCTCCTGTGTGTATGTGTGTGTGTGTGTGTGTGCGCGCGCACAAACTTACCAACAAAGTAAAATTGCCAGCAATTTACTTAGTAACAGTCCACAAAATTTTTAGTAATTATTGTCCTATGGATAATATTTTTCTTTTTTTTTATTTTTTTTTATTTTTTATTATTTTGTGTGCGTGTACCGTCAAATCAGATCTGACTGGTACAGGAGGAGATTGCGCCTCCTTCTCCGGCAGAGCATCTGGTGGATTCGAACCGTGTTCCTCTGGGATTGCAGTGCAGCTTCTTGCCACTAGGCCACCAGAGCTCCCCGGATAATATTTTTCTGAGTTTATGTGTGTATGTTAGTGTGTGTCTCTCTCAAACAGAAAATTCCTTGGAGGCAAGTGTTTTCTGTTCCATAGAGTGTTCCCCAGGGCTCAAGACGGGCAGTTATCTGTGTACCAAGCCATAATCTCTCACGTATGGAGGACATTTGGTGCACAATGCCCCTGGAGGTAGCAATTGTGATTGTGAGGGCAGTAAGAAGGCCTTGAGGAACAGTAATATCTGAAAAATTTCAGCAGGTAGTAAGAGTGGAAGAGTCTTCTAGAAAGCTGGAACATGAGGTGGCAGGAGCAGGTGGGGAGGAGGAGCTTGTGGGATCTCCTGAGGAGGCATCCACTTTTGTCTCTCTTGAGACACTGTTAGCTTGTTGATCAAGAGCAGGCTGCAACTCCCTGGAGTCTGAAGGGCAGTCTGTATTTATTTCCTTCCTTATTTGAGGTCAATCCTTAGTAATCTTCCTTCCTCGCCTGGCATTGGGAAGCATTATCTTTTTTCTCTGGAGATCATTAGAGTTTCCCCAGCCCTTGGACTAGCAGAGACAAGACCCTGGGGAATCACCATCCACTATATGTTTACTTGGATACCATTTTAATCCTTTTGTTTCCTGAGTGATTAAGTGCCCAGTTGATTATCAAACTAATCAGACTAATCAGCAAGCACTGACTACTGGTTTCACTTGAATTTGTGTGCCTTTGCCAGGAGAAGTTTGCCTTAGTGCTGAAGCCAATCCTAGGAATTCTTAGTCACTTGGATTGAGAAGTCAATGTCTTAGATGCACACTTCCTCCTTAGTATCCTCGAGGGCCTCCTAGTAAAGAGGGCCAATCCACTATTAAGTCTTATTGCCAGAAAAAGTCTGTCCCGCAATTTTTTTACATTATCTAAAGATGTTATGTGACAGCTTTGGATAGTCTGGGGCTGTGACATTTGCAGGACCACATCTGTGAAGCTGTCCATACAGCTGAACAACTCTCCTTTCCTTCCCATCAGGCCCCTAGCAGTCCATCAATAATTCATAGCTGAAAGCAGGCCCAAACATCTCCCATTCCTATAACAATGTAAATGATTTTTCAAAAGATGGCTGCAACACAGAATTTTTTCAGTGTTAACATGTATATTGAGGATGGGGGGGTTTGTTATGCATTTTTTAAAATGATAATGAATTTGCTAATCCTTACCATGTACATGAGAAAACACTTCAAAGCCAAAAAACCAATTGCTGTCAAGTTGATTCCATTTACCGCAACCGCATGGGAGCAAAGTAGAACCTTTGGGAGAATCAGGTTACCTGACCCCTTTCTTTCAAGATGTCTCTGAGTGGTTTGAACTGCCCACCTTTTTTTTTTTCTTTCTTGTTTTATACCATATATACTGACTGGCACAGGAGGAGATTGCCCCTCCTTCTCCAGCAAGAGCATCTGGTGGATTTGAAAGGGGCATCTTCAGGATTGCAGGGCAGCTTCTTGCCACTAGGCCACCAGAGCTCCCATCTACCTTTCCTTTTGCACTACCAACCTTTCAGTTTGACTCCATTAAGAGTATTGAGAATACCATGGACTGCTAGGAAACCAAACAGATTTGTCCTGGAAAGGGTTAAACCGGGTGGCTCCTTGGAGGCAAGGATTCTGAGGCTCCATCTAACATACTTTGGACATGTTGTGAGGAGAGACTGGTCCTTGGAGAGGGACATCATGCTTGGGAGGGTGGAAGGACAGCGCAGGAGAGGAAGGCCTTCTATGAGGTGGATTGATTCAGTGACTGGGATAATTGGGATGGGAGTGTCAGAGACGGTGCGATTGGCACAGGATAGAGCGGAGTTTAGGGCTGTTGTACATAGGGTCGCTATGAGTTGCAAGCGACTCGACGGCACATAACATAACATAACATGTATATGGAAACTTCTTATGTACAATGACGGACAGAGTGATAGAAATGTAGTTCCTTCTCCTAAGAAATATACTTCAAGACATTTAAAGCACCTTGGCTGAATGTGAGTGAGAAAGAAGAATAAGACAGGTCCCACCCTCAGGCAATTTACTAATGAGTGGGAAATCAGACATATAAACAACCAGTTAGACTATAAATCAGAATGGCATATGTGCTGAAGGTCTAATTAACTTGCAGAAGGAAGTTTGGGAGGACTGAGAGGGAGACTCATGTAAGATTAAATTGTGAAACTCTATCAGTAGCTGGGGATAGTTCTTAAATGTACAGTGGAAGAATTGGGGGAATAAATCCAAGAGCTCAGAGAACTTAGATCCCTAGGAGATAGTAAGAATTGGAGAACAGTTCTTGAAGGAAGAGGACTTTCACAGTAAAGTCTTGCACCTGAAAAACCATCAGGACCTGTTACCCTAACTCTCACTGCTTTGATCACTGACCACTTCTCGCTGGTCCCTGGGTTCTGGTCTCCAGTTCTCTCCTTTCTTGATTTCTAATGCCCTCTTTCCCTCGAAGTTAGAAACCCAACCCAAACTCGAGATTTTTACTCTTTCTGGAGCCAAAGGAGGATGCATAAGCATCATTACTGCTGTGTTACCCTATTATCCCTCAGCTTTTTTTCCACAAACCCAGGGACTTGCTGGTTACCTCCACGACCCCCTGTAGCTCAGACCCCTTAATGCTGATCTGACAGGTTCTGCCTAATTCTGTAACCTCACACATGGTTTATTCTTGTGCACTCATGCCTCAGATTGAGGGAGAAGGAGTTAAAGCCTTTCCAAGATAAGGACTATGTGCCCAATACCACCTCATTGTATGTGGAAAAGCAGCTCCTGGAGGATGAAGATGCTTTTGAATCCTTTGATAGTTTCCCCCTATCTTCCCCCCAGAAAATAAAGACCAGCCCCAGTAATACAAAGAAATATTCCCTAAAACCTAAAATCAAAGATGGTTTGGTTTCTAAGGCCAGAGGTTGGGCAGGGGTACCTGCACCATAACCCCGGTGCTTGCTGGGATTTTTCCTATTTGTACAGGGGGATCTTGCGGCCGAATCTATTGATAGTCAGTCCTCTGCTACACTGCCAGCTCTCTCACCATTACCACCCCCTCCCTCTACACGCGGTCTATGGGCAGAAGTTGTTACTATGGAAATGTATTATTTTTAAAAACAGAAGCAGCTCTGGACTAGGGAAATGGCTCCAGAAGCAACCCACATTAGCAGGGAGGTTATTAAGTATGTTAGAGTCCGAGCTCCAAGAGGGAGTCCAATATTCCATTGTTCTAAACTCAACCTCTGCTAGGTTCAGGTTCTGCTTCCCCTCGGATCAGAACCCGCTGGACCTCTGCCAGGCACTTCTATCCCAGAGGGATGCTCTGCATCTTCTCTAGAATTAGCTTCAGCAGGAAATGGGCACCCAGAGGCTGCTGAGCGCGGGGTGTGCGGAGAAGGGGGCGGTGCCATTCATCAGAATCACCTCCTCCTTTAACCCCTCAGGCGTCCAACCTACAGAAATTTACAGACCACGGGGGAAGCAGAAACGGCACCTCAGGTAAGTGAAGTGGTGTCTCTGCCCACTCTTGCAGTCGTCTCTGGCAAACCGGAGGACCTGACCCCACCTATTTATCATCTAGGAACTTCCTCTCCTCCCGCCTTGCTCCCGGCCTTTCTCCAATAGCTGGACGCCCGGCTCGCCAAGCTCCGCCCTGAGCGGGTGCGGTTCCTTTAAGGCCGGGTGGGGGCGGGGCGGCCGGCGGTGTTGTCAGTGTCAACTCTGCGCACGCAGCCCTCTTGCAGCCGGTGTCGGCCCGCGAACCCCCACGTCTCTGCAGCCTGGTCCCCGCCCGGGTTCGGCGGGACCCGTGCAGTGGGAGGAGTCACCACTGGCTGGTGACTAACCCAGGTTGGACGTCTGGACCTACGAAGAAAGGACCTCGACTACAGAGAGCGAGAGAGAGACCTCCCAGGCATCGCGACCACGCAGCATCTCCACTCCCGACCCGTGGCACCCACTAGTCTCCGGCACTCAACGCCAGAGCACCCGAGCCCGCGTGCCCAGCCCCGGGGGAGCCCGCCCCCGCCCCGCGGCCCGCCCGGGCCATGCTCCCCCGGGGCAGCGGCTGAGCGCCAGCCAGAGCAAGGAACAGTACCGAAGCCCGCGCTGAGCATGGATCCCGGCTGGGGGCAGCAGGACGTGGGCTGGGGTGTCTTGCTGATCCTCTTCGCCGCCTCCCTGCTCACAGTGGCGGGCTGGCTGCTGCAGTATGCCCGGGGCTTGTGGCGGACACGGGCCGGCAGGAGCCAGGGCCGGGAGCCCGCCTTAGCAGTCGAGCCAGAGGGTTCCCTGCGGGAGCTAGGCGTGTGGCGCTCGCTCCTGAGGCTGCGGGCAACTCGAACTGGCACCCCTGAAGAGCCAGGCGTCCGAGGCCTCCTGGCGTCACTCTTTGCCTTCAAATCTTTCCGGGAGAACTGGCTGCGAGCTTGGGTTCGAGCGCTGAACGAGCAGGCCTGCAGGGACCGGGTGAGTTGGAGAGGAGAGCCTGGGTAGTCCCTTCAGTGTTTTCTTCTCAGCCTGGGATTGCCCATGCTAAGAGGGAGGGATGGAAGTGGGGATCAACAGGGAAACCACATGACTCCCTTTCCCCTCTTCGATCCGAGAATAGGGTACTGGTGAGTCTAGGCTTGCACAAATTCGGCTAGGTTCCAGATCACTGTTCCTGTGGGTAAGGTACTCTCTGGGCTTCAAACCTACTCACAAATTGTTGTTCTCATAGCAACGCTAATCCCTATGCCTGATGGCGCTTCCGTGTAACCTGGGTGCTGGTTGGGTTGGGGGTGGGGATAGGTGCACCTGCAGAAGGAATTTGCCTGGTCTCCATGCCACCACTCCCAATTAATAGCTCCTGCCCCACATCTCTGCTGTGGCCAGGTAGATCCTTAAGGAGCCTGAATCACACCCCCACCCAACCCCCAACTCATGTCACTACTTCTGTCAGACACATCCCCCTGCTTGACTGGCCTGCCATATATTTATTCAGAGAGAAGGTGTTCAGGTGGAGACCAGATTGACTACCCATGTGCCTCCCAGTAGATGAGCCTGAAGCTGTTTCTTGAGGATCAGTCACAAACTTACTTCCTCCCATTGCACTATGCATGGACATCTGACCTCCCAGGAAGTGGGGCAAGAAGCATGGTAGTAGTGGTCATAAGACTGAGGGGAGGGTACCTCCCTTTTCTGGGACCTCCTCCCACCAGGCATAGCCACTGCTTACTGCCATCACAGTCCATCACCTCCTTGTTCAGAGCATTCTGTTTCCAGGTCGTACTAATCTGGGGACTTTATACTTTGCTAGCTCCTCAAATTCCTGGAAGCAGAAGTGGCCACATGAAATTGTTTGGTTTCTTTTGGCCAGCAGGCAAGCTAAAGGTCAGATGGCAGATGTCAATCTACACCTTGAATCCACCCCTCCACCCAGCTCTGCTTGCACTTTGTCCCTTGGTCAAGAGCAACTCCCCAGGACAGCTGACTCAGCTAGATGACATTGGCCTTCTCTGTAGGGAATGAAGAGATTGAGGTTCCAAACAACCATATCCCTGTCTCCATGGTTATGGCCACTGAACAGGACAGCTGCAAGAGCAGAGAAGTTGACTGCTGCTGGTTTGCCAGGCAAATGAGCCCTTTTCTCCCATCCTAAGATCCAGAAAAGACCATCTCCTCAATTCTTTTCATTCCCCCTAGACAGGGCTGCATGCAATAGGCTGTCACATTTCTGCTGTGGAAGAATTAGGAAGCCACTTTTTCGAAGCCTAAGCTAAGCAGCTTTCCCTTCTTGTAATACCAACCTACTGTCTGTCTTGAGGAATTAACCAGATACCTGGGCCTTTGAGCCTTCTGAGCTTGCATTTCTTCCCAGCCCCTCTGGTCAGATTCCCCAAGGATGTGCTGAGCTAGTCATGAAGATCCAAAAATATGGATAGGATCACCATTTTGAGCCTCAGTGTTCTGTATACCTTATCCTTTTATCAGGATAAGGCTTAGCCTTGTGTCTTCAGCTTGTTTCCTACAATAATTGACCCTTCTTCCTCCATTCTTAACTTGGCTCTGCCTCTCTTCTCCCCAGGTATTATATATAGGTAGGAAGGAACCAACATCTTCCCCCCCCCTTTTTTCTATGCACAACTTATTTTCGTGGTAGAGTGGAGGGAACAAAGAGAGAAAAGGAGGAGATTTCTGGAATTCCAGGAGAAATCCAAGGTTTTCTGCTTAAGGTGATCTGGTCTCTGAAGTGATCTAGCTCCCGAGTCCTCTGTGGTCCCAGATACTATGGGATCCTGGGGAGACAGAGTTCAGTTTGAGGGGAGAACTTCCTGTCCTGAAGGCCTAGGAGGGGCCAGAAGCCAGCCTGCAGCTGAGGCCTTCACAGTGCCAGGGCCTAGTCAGCAACTGAGCAGGCCAGCCTTGCGGGAAGCAGTTCTGGAGACCTGATCCTGTGCCCACATTACTCCCTCAGAGCTCCATCCAAATCACCTTTGAGGAAGTACCCCAACTTCCACCCAGAGCCAGCATTACTCATGTGACCTGCGCAGACCAATCAGAGCACACCATGGTAAGGGTCAGATGGGCACTGACCACTTTGGGACCTGAAAGGGGCTGACCCTGAGGGTTTCCTTGGGCCTGGGAAGTCTTAACCTGAAGTTTATTAATGCCTTGGGGAATCCAAGGATTGGCTTCAGGAGAGTGCTCCTGAAGTTTGTATAAAATGTTGTATGTGTGCATATGCAGAGTTTTCTGGGATGAGGAGACTTTAGCTTTTACTGATACTTTTAGGAGTATGTGACTCGAATGGGTGACGTTCCAAGAAAAACAGCAGTGGGGATGGGTCTGCTGACCCATTATAGTGAGGAGTACAATCGAGGACCCTTCTGTTTTACCTGACCCTGCTTTGCCCATCTCAGGTGCTGCATTGCCAGCTTTCTGCTGAGGAGATGTGGTTCCCAGTCTCTGTGACCCAGCAGTCCCCCGCTGCCGTCTCCATGGAGACCTACCACGTCACTCTGACACTGCCACCAACACAGGTGGAGGGGAACGTGGGAACAGAGTTGGGTGGGGGATCTGTTGTATCAGCTTTTGCAATGTGGTTCCTCTTGGAGGTGCAATATGGGCAGGGAGAGTCCTGGTGAATTGGAAGTAATTGGAAGAGTGAAACACAAACTAATCCCTTTGTCCCTGGTCTGCAGCTGGAAGTCAACCTGGAGGAAATCCCTGAGGAGGGGCTGCTGATATCTTGGGCCTTCACTGATCGTCCGGATCTCAGCCTGATGGTGCTTCCCAAGCTGCAGGCTAGGGAGGTAAGGGGCCTGGACTTGGAAGGAAAAGGTAGAGCAGGAGGGTGAGGTCAAGCTGCAGGTGTCACCTCTTGTTCCCCTTTCCCCCTGCAGAGAGGCGAGGAGCAGGTAGAGCTCTCCACTATCCAGGAACTGATCGAGGATGCCATAGTCAGCACCCAGCCAGCCATGATGGTCAACCTCCGGGCCTACTCTGCCTCTGCAGGCCTAGTGAGTGGGCACCAGAAGTAAATGGTTTTTATCTTGTCCCCAGACAGTGTTGGGACTACTGCTGTTTACTTGTTCTTGCTTTTAGGTTACCAGTGAGAAGTCATCCACTTTGCCCCAGACCCAACCAGCCATCTCCAGACCTACTCGGTTATTCCTCCGGCAGCTCCGAGCATCTCACTTGGGAATTGAGCTGGGAGGTAAGAGCTGGCAGGAGGTAGAGGACTACCATGGCCGTGATAACAGGCACTTGCTGCCCCTTGGCCAAAGATCTGTTTTCTCTATTCCTTAGGGACATCCTACTTTTAAAAATAAATAAATGAATAAATAATTTTTTTATTCATTCATTCATTCATTTATTTATTTAATGTGTGTACCGTCAAATTGGATCTGACTGGTACAGGAGACGATTATTCCTCCTTCTTCAGCAGAGCATCTGGTGGATTTGAACCATGCACCTCTGGGATCGCAGTGCAGTTTCCTCCCACTAGGCCACCGGAGCTCGCCGACATCCCACTTTTGATCTTCTTATTTCTGGTTCCTTACAGGGTCTGGAGAACTGTGCTGTGTAGCTGAGCTTGATAACCCCATGCAACAGAAGTGGACCAAGCCTGCAAGGGCTGGCCCTGAGGTGGAGTGGACAGAGGACCTGGCACTGTAAGGAGTGAATTCCACCCCTGGAACCCATCAAGCCCTAGGCTGGGTCCTAGGGTTAAAGATAAGATACTACCTTTGGCTGATCATAGGCTAGAGACAGACAGGGTGATACTATTGCTCCAATAAAGGTTGATACGTATTGCTGTGGAGCACATAGGTGGGGGAGATTTGTCACCAGAGGAGAATAAAGAGCAAGATGGGCTTCCTAGAGGAGGTAGCTTTTAAAACACATCTTAAAGCAAGAGTAGATGAGTAGGATTTCAAAATGTGAGAGAGTATTTTTGGAAAAGGGAATAGCTTGAGTAAAGAGGATAGTATGAGACTAGGAGACGGGAGAGGCAGGGAAGATTTGAATGGGGAGTGTGATCCCATTCTTTTGGGAGGTAAGAAGCTCAGGAAGGCAGAAATAAACCTGATGGAATGAATACTTGGTCTTCTTATTTACGGACATTTGTTTCTGCCTCTAGCCTGGGATCAGCTCAAGGGTGGATTAATTTTGCTTGTGTTTTTTCTTCTTGATCCTCATTTCCTCCTGGTCCCCAGGGATCTTGGCCCCCAGAGCCGGGAGCTGACCCTCAAAGTGGTGAGGAGCAGCAACTGTGGAGATAGTGAGTGTGGGGCAGTGGGGAGCACTACTGGGTGAGTGCTGAGTGAGACCTAGCCATGAGTCTAGTTCACAGTGCCACTCTTTTCTCCAGGTGAACTTCTGGGCCAGGCCACACTGCCTGTGGGCTCCCCTTCTAGACCACTGTCCCGAAGACAGGTGTGTCCACTTACCCCAGGGCCAGGGAAAGCCCTGGGACCAGCAGCCACTATGGCAGCAGAGGTGAGGAGCTGACCCAAGGGGGATGTTGGAAGAGGAGGAGAAAGGGCCTCTCTAAGGACCTGCTTCTCTGCTCTTCTACCTTTGGCAGCTTCAGTACGAGGAAGGATCCCCCCGGAACCTGGGCACTCCCACTTCTTCTACTCCACGCCCTAGCATCACACCTACCAAGAAGATTGAGCTGGACCGGACCATCATGCCTGATGGCACCATTGTAACCACTGTCACCACTGTCCAGTCCCGGCCCCGTGTAGATGGCAAATTAGGTAAAGAGGAGACTTGTGGGAACTCAGCTCTAGCTAGGCACCCCAAACCACAGATCCATGACAGGATGGGGAAGAAAGAAAAGCCTCATTCCATCGTCCATTTTTCTGACATTCCACTCAGATCTTACATCTGTCCCATTATCTTTGGCTCTCTGAGATTCACTTACATCCTCCTCTTCTTCAACCATTATTTGCACTTTTCAATCTTTCTGGCTCAGATAGACTCTTGTGTTTCCATATCACCTAATTCCCTTCCTTTCTTGTCTCCCCCACTCCTCCAACCTATGCAAGTGCTCAGAGTAAATATCTATTAACAAAATGAATAGATTTGTGGATGACTGGATCACTAAATAAAGGACATTTAATAGCTCTCAAAAAAAGTTCATCCAGAAAGAAGGTTGTGTGGAAATTGATGAATTATCTGACAATATTTAGGAGTTACATAACACCCTTTGAGTGGTAGTTTATAAATCATATGGTTTCTTCAATCATTCATACATATTTTATTTTACCACCACATTAATTAATTGATTAGTGTAATGATCTTCTAGTTCCCTTTTTCTTTTTATATGTCTTTTCCCTTAACTCTCCAGCACTCTGTAAAAGCCAATAAATCCTGTGACCCACATGGCATTTATCCACCATAGATTACATTTCACTCACCTATTGAAGTTCTGAGAAATATTCTCTCTGTCCATTGAATCTCTGTACCATCCTTGCACCTCCTCACCTGTTCAGTGGCTCCATGACTCTCTTTCACACTCCTGGTGGTTTTGTGTGGTATCTCTTCATCCCCGGTGGTGCCTATGACCTAGTATCACATTCTCGATTGCTCTTTTGGCACGGTCTTGGTTATCCGTCCCCTGCTTTGAGAGTCAGTCAAAGTCTGCATTTCAATCAAGACAATTGCTAAACTTTTGTTCAGAGTGGGGGCCGCTCTGAAGACTCAGCTCACTGACCCTCCCCCACCCACCAGACTCCCCCTCCCGCTCCCCGTCCAAGGTGGAGGTGACTGAGAAGACGACAACGGTGCTGAGTGAGAGCAGTGGCCCTAGCAGTACCTCCCACAGCAGTAGTCGTGAGTGGGGAATGAGGATGCGTGAGGGTTGGGTGGTAAGGGACCCAAAAATGTAAAAAAGAGTAAAAAAAAATTACTTTGGGTGGGCCAGGAGGAATTCAAGTCCAAGAAGAAACTGGGGACTACAAGTCAAGTTACCTATTTTGTACACCCCCAGCAGGGGAGAGCCATCTTTCCAATGGTTTGGACCCTGTAGCAGAGACAGCCATTCGCCAGCTAACTGAGCCCAGCGGGCGGGCAGCCAAGAAGACACCCACCAAGCGTAGCACTCTGATCATCTCTGGTGTTTCCAAGGTAATGAGGTTCTGGGGAGAGGAGCTGTGATAGGGAGAGAACCCTAAGGAGCCACTCACTTAAAGTTTGTCCCTCCTACCAGGTGCCCATTGCGCAGGACGAGTTGGCACTATCCCTGGGCTATGCGGCATCCTTGGAAGCCTCAATGCAGGATGATACAGGGAGCAGTGGAGGTCCCTCTTCACCTCCCTCGGACCCAGCAGCTGTGTCCCCAGGACCCCTAGATGCCCTCTCCAGCCCCACAAGTGTCCAGGAAGCAGATGAGACAACACGTTCAGACATTTCTGAGAGGCCGTCTGTGGATGATGTTGAGTCAGAAACAGGGTCTACAGGTGCTCTGGAGACCCGCAGTCTCAAGGACCACAAAGGTGGGGAAATTTGACGGGATTGTTCCACCCTTGCTTCTTTTATATGCCCAGATTCATGGTTATAGGAGTCCCTGGATGGAGCAAGTGGTTAAACACTCATTTACTAATAGAAAGGTTCTCTCATTTACTAATAGAAAGGTTCTAACCCATTCAGAGGAACCCCAGAAAAAAGGGCTGGTGATACAGAGAAGCCACAGCTTTGAAAAATCCATAAACCATGGTTCTACTGTGACATACATGAGGCTACCATGATCTGGAACCGACTCAATGGCAACTAGTTTGATTTTTTTTCTGGTTTTCATAACTTAGGTCCTGGGACTTAGGGATATGGACGTGGGAGCCACAAACAAGTTTACTTTTCGTTTCCTCTAAGGGGCATGTCAGTGTTTCCAGCCTGGTTCAGCTATACAAGAGTCCAGATCCACAAACATGCTCCAGTCAAGTTTATTCCAACTCCTAGCAACTCTATAGGACAGAGTAGAAGTGTCCTGTAGTGTTCCCAAGACTTTAGATCTTTATAGAAGAAGACTGCTAAATCTTTTGCCTATAAAGTAGCTGGTGGGTTCAAACCACCAACATTTTACTTAGCAGCTCAGTGCTTTAACCACTATGCCACAAAGAGTTCAAAGTTATACTAGAAAGGGGACTTTGATGCCTTTGTTCTTGGCCAGGGTCTGACAGTTATGAGGGGGGTGTCAAATGATTCCTTTTTGCCTTAGCACGTTTTTTCATTCTGGCATGTAAACACCTGTCTTCCATATCCTTTTATCTTTTTTTTTACATTTTCTCCACTTATAAGTGTGGAAAAATAAATCCTCTGGCAGTAGATAGCTGTCATACTTCTAACTTGCTTGCCCAAGACATCCTCATCCCACTGCCATTGTGTCAGTCACAGATCTCTCTGTGCTGTAAGTCCGCATGGCTTCTTGAGATAATGAGATTCCGAAGTCCAAAGCCGCCTTCATGTTGGTCCTCATTACCTCTTTGAAGCTTCCACAGCGTTGCCTCTTGCTCACATCTTGGCATCTGGTAAATGAGTTAAGTGTTGATCCACCTGTCCCTCCATGATTTTATAGGCTTTAGGAACACTCAACTCAGCCTTTGTCTTTGCATACTAAAGAGGTCCAGTCTTCTCAGTCTGACCTCATGGAGCAGCCAGCCCCATGGCTTTCCTCCTCAGGGCAAACCTCAAAGGTGCATACACATTCCCATGGCTATCATGATTTTTTTTTTTTTTGTCTAAGAAAGGATAAAGAGCATGCTTTGTTTCAACATTTTGTGTGACTGAGGCAGCTTGAATTTGGGGCTACCATACTGGTTTTTGCTCCATATTGTCTATCCCTCCACCCCTTGCCTTTTCTATGTTCCTTACCTCTCCTAACCCAAGTCATGCCCCCTCGCTGCTTCAGCCTCCCTTCTTTCCCACAGTGAGTTTCCTGCGCAGTGGCACTAAGCTCATCTTCCGCCGGAAGCCTCGACAGAAGGAAGCTGGCCTGAGCCAATCACATGATGATCTCTCCAACACCACGTCCACACCCAGTGTCCGAAAGAAGGCCGGCAGCTTTTCTCGCCGCCTTATCAAACGCTTTTCTTTCAAATCCAAACCCAAGGCCAATGGCAACCCCAGCCCTCAGCTCTAAAAGGGCCCTATTTACCTCCTGAGGAGAATTCAGGTGTTTCTCAGCCCATTCCCACATCCTCTTCTGAACCCTCCCTGGATTTCCAGACCAGAAAAGCCCTCTGGGTTCCAGGAATCCCTGTCCATCCTGGGCTCTGGGGCCAGTTGGAAGGGTACTTGCAACGGGAAATGTGTGAGAGGTGGGCACCCGTTGCTGAGGATACAGGAAAGGGAGTTGGTGGCTGGGAATAAGGAGGGCTTTGTCTGGCACATGTGGGCCTTCCTCAGAGATGTTGGCCTCTTGTTAATACTGGACCCTTTGGGGAGTCCCAGGGTGCTCAGCTTCTCAGCTGATTCTTCCTCCCTTATTTATTCACTTTTCTATTTATATGTGTGGTCCAGAACCCTCAGTGAACAGACAATAGAGGGTGTCTCTCCCAGGTGACCCTTCTTTCCTGTCCCAGCAGAGTGGGCAATTCCCTTTGGGATGGAGATCCCACAACTCCCTCAGGTCCCCACAGAGACCAGCACCAGTGTCTGCCCCTGAGGACATTGGCAGCTCCAAGAAAGCCAGGCAGGTGCCTGGGATGGGGGGCAGGTACTCCCCGAGGCCCCACTTCTTCTTCTGCCCCTTGCTCCTTCCCCCTTTATTACTGTTTTTGTACTTGATGCCTTCTATGTGATCAGTGGCTCTGTTGGAAGGAGGGAGCCTGATGGGAAGCCTTCCCCAGAGAGATGATTTTAGGGGCTTTATTTAAAGACTGTGATGATGGAGCAAGAGCAAGGCTGCAACTCTGTATGTGGGAGATGACTTCCATTGCTGTGTGATGGCTTGGAATTTAATTTATTAAATTAAAGTAAAATTGGAGTTTATCCACTGGATGACTTTATTTTTTTAAAGGCTGTGATGGGAGGGAGGATCAGAGAGACAGATATTCAGGAGGGATAGATTACAATACATAATACATTGGTTAAGAAATTACTTCAGGGAATATGGGACATATACTGAGAGGATGAGAAACAAGAGTCTGAGAAGAACAAACATACAGCTACAAAATTAACCTGGGGCAGGGAAAAGAGAGGATCAGTTAGCTAGTATAATACCTTTTTTTTTTTTAGTATAATACCTTTACTCCCCTTTCTCAAACAGGTTGCTCAGTAGTTCATAGTATGAACTGTGCAACCAGACTGTTTATGTTTGAGACCCAGCATCAGTGCAATCTTAGGCAAATTAATGTAGCCATCTGAGTGCCACAGTTTTCTCATCCGTGAAGTAGAGACTGTTCTCATTTGGTTATGGAATAGAAGTAAATATAAAGTGCTCAGAATTGTTGGTATATATTCAGTTCTGAGTAAGCGTTAGCTATTGCCTCAGAAGAGAAAGATTAGAAGGAGGAAGTGTTTCACCATCATTAAAAACTCTTTTGCTCATTAAATGAGCACAAGTTGCAAAGAGTTCTAGATAATAGGAAATGGTATGTTCCTAGTTCCTGATTTCTGGGATCCTACCCAGGTTATGGACCAGATAAACTGCTGCAGGATGTCAAGGACATAGCCCAGGACCAGGAGACAGGAATCCTGAGTGGGTCACAAATACCTTACATAGAATAGAGCACTTCCTTTTTTCTGGGCCTTAGCTTCCTCATCTCTAAAATAAATTGTCCTAAATAGTCACTCAGTACTCACATCTATCTCTCACCTTCTATGAGATACCTACATTATTGGAGGCTTTAGCACATATGATTTAGGTAAGTAGGATGGAATTGTTACTATCCCTATGCTTGTGTCCAGATCAACCAAACAATATCGGCTTTGAGTTCTGTTGTTGAGGAATAGCAGAGCAGAACAATTTCATTTTCATAGAGTGAAATACTTGATTGCAGAGCAATGAAACTCAATGAGATTTTGCAGGCTATTTTCCTCAGTCTAAGAAATAAAACTCTTCTTGGTTGACAGATGACCCGTTTATCATTATGATAAGACAACATAACACACTAGATTTGAAATTTTGTTAAAGGAGGGCAGGTATTCAAATTTCCACTGGATGCTTGTTAAGATCATTGACACAATGGCTGCAATGATTGTGAGGATGGTGGAGGACTTGTGGATTGAATAGAATTGTTAAATTGTACTGAGCTGGCCTGAGCCCAAAAGAATCACATACTTTAAAGAAGAACCTTTCTCGAGCAATGAAGGTGGTTGTTGTGTGTGGCACACACACTAAGAAAGAATAATCAGGTACTAAAAAAGAATAATCAGGCTTCAAAAACAGAAATTAAAAACAACCCAAAAGAAATAAAAAATACAGTTTAATTAACTTTACCAGTTTCACATTTTTAAAAGAGATCCATGCATTTGATATACATGAATAATGCCTTAAATTGTCAAGCCCAAACAGAGGCTTGTTTTCAAGAGAAGCAGGTTGAGATGGTAACATATTGTAGTAGACATCAGTAAGGCATTGCCACAAATTTTAGAGACATAAATTCCAGAGCTATCCTGAAATTGTTGATGGGTAATCCATTTTTTTAGTCTATATGGCTTGGTGAATGAACTTTTTCCTCTATGAAATTACTAACAGAATACTGAAGATTATTGTCAATAGTTTAAATCTGAACCAAGATGAGCTTAATTAAAATTAATAAGGAAGGCCCGAAGAAAAATTGATGCCTTTGAATTACGGTTTTGGTGAAGACTGTTGAATATGCCATGGATTTCCAGAAGAATGAACAAATCTATCTTGGAAGAAGTATAGCCAGAATGCTCCTTTTAAGTGAGGATTTTCAGAATTGGCCTGAACTTTGGACATGTCAACAGGAAGGACAAGGCCCTGGAGAAGGGCATTATGCTTGGGTGAGGAGATCATCAGCAAGAAGGAGGAAGACCCTTAATGAGAACACTGGCATGGTGGCTGGGATGACTGTGAGGAGGGTGCCAGACTAGGTAGAGTTCCAATGTGTATATGACAGCTATAAATAGGCACCAATCTGACAACACCAAACACAATAAATTCGACATTTTGTGAAGTACTATGACTGAGAATGCACAAAGTTGCTAAGATATGTTTTATGTTACTTTTGAGCTACATTTTAAAGACCTATTTTTAATAGACCAAGCTAGAATTGTTATTAATAGTAAAATTCATGCACATATCTGATTGCATCTCATTATTTTAATGGCATCTTTAAATATATTTGATACCAAATATATTTTAATGAGTATAAATACATTTTGTGCTCTGATTACATAAATTATATAGGTAAGTTAGAAAACATAAAAGAATGTAAAGGAATAAACTACCCAACAAACTTATTGAACTCTTTTACTAGGGTACACAATCCATTTAATAAATAGGTCTTGAGCCTTTTACTGAGTTTCAACCACTAGATTAAGTAGAAACTATAAAAAGAGTATCTCCCTTAGGATTATCTGGTGGTCTAGTGGTAAGAAGCTGCATTGCAATCCTGAAGGCATGTGGTTCAAATTCACCAGCTGCTCCATGGGCAAAAGTTGGTCAATCTCCTCCCTGTGATTAACTGCTTCTGAAGAGGGTCAGCTATTTTAATGGCATGAGTTGGTTCTGACTTGATGGTACACAACAACAATTTTCCTTAAAATCTACCTTGATTCTAACACATAGCAATATTTGCAGGCTTTCCACGGCTGTTAATCTTTATGGGAGGAGACTGGCACCTTTCTCTCCTAGAGCAGCTATTGGCTTCCAGCCACCAATCTTTCAGTTAGCAGCCCAGTATATAACATACCACCAGTGAGCTATGGTGGCTTAGAGGTAAGGAGTTGTGCTGCCAATCCAAAGGTATGCGGTCCCTGGGAGAAGGATAGGCAATCACCATATGTGTGGTTAATTGCTTCTTAAAACTCAGTGGAGGTTCAGTTAACTGGACAGTTAACAACCTTAGAAACCTGATGAAGGATGGAGGGTCTGGAGGAGGGTCAGGAGGTGGAAACAACTTCCCTGGCAGTGGCTTTGTTTTGAGGCTTTCCTTCACTGTTGTTAAGTGTCCTCGAGTAGTAGACGACTCAGCGAACCTATGAACGAAAGACTTGACTACTTGTATAACGTTCATTGTTTCTCCAAGTTCATAGAGTTTCCGAAGGCAAGCTATTTCAGAAGTGGATGCCAATTCTGTTTCCAAACCTGTTTTAATGGGGAAGCTCCACCAAACACTGCCCACCAAGGGTAACTATTATCACATTTGACACATCAGTGTCATAGCGTTTAGCATCACAACAACTACGAGTTACCTCTGCACAGCAAATGGACAGACCAGTGTCATACTACTTAGAAGAATGTTTGACCAAAAACAATTAAAACTAGCAACTGACTAGTTAGAAATGCATACAAGTAAACAGACAAGTGCTATGTGACAGATTTATAATGTGGGAGAGGTAGGAAAAGGATGTTAAGGACTTCTTGAAATACTGAGTTCAGAATGAGTAGGCATTAACCAGGTAAATAAACATGGGAGGAGGAACCAGGAAAGGTAATTCCAGACAAAGGAAACAGCAAGTAGAAGAGGAGAGATAAATGTGTGAAGAAACCGAAAGGGGCTGGAAGGCCATTAGTGCAAGGTATTCTAGACAGGCTGGGTAAGTAGATAGAGCCCAGGTGCCGAAAAACCTTGATGGCCTCAAGTAGTTTTGTCCGGCTTGGGGGCTTTGTTTCGAGGACACTAGAATGCCTTTCAGTTGTTTAAAACATAGCTGTGGCATGATCTGAGCTGCGTTTTAAAAAGATTATTTTGAAAGTTCTGCTGGGAATGGCTTGGAGGGAAGCAACATTGCACTCCTTAAAACAAACAGAAAAAAAAAAAGAGAGAGAAAAAATTAAAAAAAAACACCAAACACAAACAAACAAACATAGAAATCTGCATGGCCTATACCGGAATGGAGAAGATAGGGGGGGAAATAGATAAACTTGAGAAGTCTCGTGTTTAGGGAGGTAGAAACCTCAGGACAAAAATAGACTGAATGTGACAAATGAGGGAGGAATCAAGGCATAACTCCCAGGTTTCTGACTTGAATGAGTGGGTGGATGTCAGAGTAGTTCACTAAGCCTCGGGAAGACAGGAGGCTGAGGCTTGAGGAAAGAAAAGACTGCTAATAAGGAGAGGAATGGAATGAAAAATAAGGGTAAGTTCCCCTGTTACGGCCGAAAGAAGCTGACAACCTTGGGCACCAGGGTACCCACACCTTACTCTCTTCGCTAAACAACAAACCTCAGGAGAAAGTGACCCCTAAAATTCTGCGCATGCCCGTTGGGACCCACGCACTGAGTCTGCGCAGTCGGGGGACTTTAAGTCAGAGATCCGGCCTCCCCATCCCACGGACAGCTCTGGCCTCTGCTCCCTTTTCACGCCTCCCGCGGGTCCACACTCCCGCCCCGGACGCCCGGCTCCACTCATTGTCCCCGCCTCTTCCGTGTTTTGGTCGCGCACGGGTTCCGTCAGACCCAGCGGCGATTGGCTGTTAGGCGGCTGAGGGAGCAGCGATTGGCTATCGCTGGCCGTCGCTCAATTTCTATCCTCAGACAGGGTCGGTTCCTGGGAAGCGCTGAAGTGAGCCGAAGGACGGTAGGTGGGCTTCCAGGTTGGCCAGTTCACTGTCGGCGGTATGGTCAGTGGCGGCTGGAGAAAGCTAAGCTTTTCCAGAGTCTCTTTGGCAGGATTTCTTCTTGCAGCACGGCTAGGCTTGTCTACTTCGGCGCCCACAGTGCCTCGGTCCCCTAACCTCATCTCGAACGTCCTCACTTTCTGTCAGGGGTCTTCGTTGCCACCCGGGAGGTTTCCAGAAGCCTCGGAGGCGGCTAGTAAGAGGTTTCGCCCGCCGTGAAGGTCTCCTTGCTACTCTTG